ATTCGTATACCCCATGAGACACGTGTAAGCGATACCCATGGGCTCTGTGGGAGACAGACAGAGGGAGAGAGAGAAAAAGCATTAGCCCTGTTAACTTGTGGATGAAGATGGATACACGGTATAAAATATGATTATGCTAAGGGGCTGGCTGGGCTGTATGCAACAATCTCTCAAACCCCGAAACTCTTGTTGGGACAACAAGTGCCGCTCATTAGGTGGGGCACTGGGAACCGGTTCAATGATTGATTCACCCGTAAACAGTTAGTCAAGAGAGTAGAGTTTCCCCCAAAGAGGAGCCACACAGTTTCAATGCCGCCGCTGACAGGCAACAATTTTTTTTTGTTGATGTGCGCTTCAAGTGCATCCGGACATTCAATCATTTATCTTCATGGAGCAGCGGGCAACACATCGCCTCAATGGTCACAGCATACTCGTTTTGGCAAAAGATGCGCCGCCACCGCCGGCGTTCAACTGAAAATGGAGCATCGTGGGGCAACAGTGGAGGAGCAACGGCGGAGGAGTTGCTGATTAGCGGAAAGCATTGCAAAATACGCTGTTAATCCAACAGGCGCAGACGTTGCTGCGTCTCATCGAATTAAGCCCGAAAAGGAAATGCAACAACAACAGCCACAAGATACGTTTTTGTAATTTATTTTCACTTGAGCAATGCAGTGCTTAAGCGTGCAATCCAGATTCGTAATGAGGATGAGAGAGAAGCACTCTACGCAGAGTTTAATGCTATCTAGATAATGACATACATACATATATCAAACAAATAGCTATATGTATAGCTGAAATACAATCAATCGGCAAGAATATCTAAAGCTTTACGGACCGAAGCAATCCTTCCTTTAGTTGTTTTTTTGTATTCCGTTTCGGATTCCAATTATTTTGCAGTACTTGCAGGCAATGCATTTGGGCTTCGGTTCGTTCCATTTTCCATTTCCATTTCCCTGCCATGCAATCAATTTTCTCACTTGCCATGGGCGCAGTTTTTATTTAATTAACTATTGCCTATTCTCTCCATCCGAATCCCCATCGCTTTTGGCGCGTTTTCATTTCGTCTGTCTGCCTGTCTGTCTGTCTGTTTGTTGTTTGAGGCGGAGTGTGACTTCTCTTCTCAAGCGTGTGACCGGAGGTGAAATTTTTATATTTGATTTTTTTTTTGGCATTAGGCCCCCGCCATTGCTGGCAACCACCACACGGCAGAAGCGATAAATGTGCGCAGATATGTTGTATGTACGGTCGGGCTGGACAACTGGTAGTGGGTCACAGCTGCAGAGCTCAGCTGCAAACCCAACCCAGAGCTCCGCTTCGCCGAATGAAGCGATTATAGGGATGCAGGCCAGACCAGAGACCAGAGACCTGGCCCGACTGACTTCAGACCGGTTCGTGTCTCTCCCGCCATCCCGCGCCATCGAAGTGCTTTCGCGCCATCGTTTCTTTCGATTCTTTCGTTTCAAAGCGTAAATATTTCAATTTATTTATTGGACATGCGTCTGTCTACCTACCCGGCATCCTCTCAAGCATCGCTTTTCGAACACTTTCTTTCTGTTAGCCTCTCCCTCATCTTTTGGGAGATGTATCTACATACGCGTCGCTTCGTCGTGTCTTGACCAAAATCACCAATATCTGGCCTCGGACTTGGGGCACGCAAAGCCCAAGACACGCCGAAAAATGTGTGTCAATGCCCTTCTTTTTGTTGATTTTTTTGTTGGTGCGGGGCGTGTCTCCCTGGGCGCATTTCCACGAACGTGAAAATGAAGAGTGAAAACAGTTTTTTGCAACAAAGCCAAAAAGGTGTGGTACGCCGCGGATTTCAACTGCAGGCCATGCATGACCTGCGCGTATTAGTGTTCCCCTGTTCCCCTGTAACTCCCTGCCGAGTGCCATCGTCCGATTGTCATGCTAAATGGGCGATGGATGAGGTGAAACTACGACTACGACTACGAATACGAGTACGACTTGGGGGCATTAGCTTTGCTTTTCAGCTTATTTATTTTCGCTTTTTCCTCTGCTTCTGTCAAACTGTCAAACGAAATTTACACGTTTTCCTCCCCAACTGTTGCTGCTGCTGCTGCACCTCACGACAGAGACACAGACAAAGAGAGAGAAAGAGAGAGAGACAATGACAACAAACAGAGACCCGCAGTTAAATGGATAGAGGAGTCACAGAGGCCAGAGCCCCACAGACAAAGAAATGGGGAGTGCGTGAGGCATTTTTAATGGATTGATTGTCTGCCGTTAAAGTTTGCATGTTAATTGCCTTTATGGTGGCGATAGACAGACGAGACAACAAAAGCGCACTTAAAAGTTAAAAAAGATATTACAGAGGTTCATGGGTGTTTGTTTGGTTCTCCCATTTTATCAGTCACATTTGGAAATGGAACATGCCCCAACAATTCAATGAAGCACCTGCCTGCCTCTCTTTGCGAAAACCAAAAAAACCAAATGGTGGCAGCACAAACCGTGCCCTGCGCTCTTCTACAAAACAAACAGAGCTTAGAGACACAGAGCAATGCGGTCGGTCGTTCGTCGGACGGACGGCGCAGGCGCACCAGCCGGACGGGCAGAGCTTAATATGCAGTCAACGTAGCAGAGAAGAGTGCGCTGGAGTGGCAGAGGGGGAAGAGCAACAGCTGCTGCCTTTTGTTCTTGTTGCTCAACTGGTTTTTAACAAATAAAAGGCAGGAAGCCAACGATAGCAACGAATTCTGTATACCCTTGCTGAGTATTCTGCAAGCATTTCGCATGTGAGAGATTCCTTGGGATTTACTTTGAAATGTACACAATATTAGGTATTGGAAATATTGGTTTTATTAACTCTTAATCTCCCTGAACCATAAACATATGATAATACCCTAGGGAAGGGTAAACAATATATGTAGCTCAGTGAGCGTTGGCGTTACTTTTAGCGTTTAACAAAAACGAAGAAAAAAGTTTAACGTCTTTTTTGCTGCTTCTCTCACGCCGCCGCCACCGCCACCACCATCGATTCGACCGGGGCTTGGCTTTCTTTGAGGCAAAACAACAACAAAAAACTATATATAAAAAATGGTAATTTGTACGCTTTTGCCTTTTTATCCGCTTCTGGCTCAATCGTACGTCTCACACGCGCTTCTAATGTCTGGATACCGAGATACAGATACTGTACGGATGATGTTGATGTTGATGATGATGGCATATAAAAAGGCAACATGAGTTTTTCAATTGGCTTGGAAAGTGGCAGACAGCAGACAGCGAGCAGCATGCAACTAATGGGGCGGACACTAGCGAAAAGTAGGCGTGTTGGGCAACAACAATGGCTCACTGTTGGCAGCCCCGGCTTTGCCACACTTTTGATGAATTAGCTGATTTTTTTTTTGCCTCTTTTTCCTTTTCCATCGAGTTTCGAGTTTGGAAAATTGAGTTGCAGCTGGCAACTGGTAGAGAGGGGGGCCGGTGGCGATGGTTCGTTGAGCCGGATCATACCCATTGCTGCGACTGCTCATTAAAAAACCACTTGAACCCAGGCTTCGTGTTATACAGCTTACAGTCTTTGGTTGGAGGTCAATAAGTGGAGCTATTGTCGGATTTTCGACTTCCATGCCGCCCGCCAATTGAAGCCTCTCTCTTCGTGTTGCATGTCTAGATTGTAAAATGGGATAACTGATTTAATTGAAATGCATTAACAACATTAAAAAAAAAAGTGTACTTCCCATACCGGGAATCGAACCCGGGCCTTCTGGGTGAAAGCCAGATATCCTAGCCACTAGACCATATGGGATATGCATGGCCACATCCTTATCTCATATTGTGTTGGCATCCCCTGTTAGAATTTTCGACAACAGATAGCTCGAAATATCCTCGGGAATTAAATTTGATTTATTTTTAAACATTCCATTTCAGCGGTGTTGTATGCATTTTGTGGCATTCAACAGACGCAGCCAAGAAAAGTGGGTCTTTGGGACAGTGAGCTATCTATGAAAGACTTGGTCTAGTGGTTTCCTAACCGGCTTATACCCAGAAGGTCCAGGTTCGATTCCCAGTATGGGAAGGGGCACACTTTTTAGTCTTTTTTTTTCATTTTGTTGTATTAATAAAAAAATATGGACTCTGTATGTTGAGCATCTCGTTGCATCAATGACTATTGGCAATTACTACACTCTTATTTGTTTTCCATTTTGTTTCGTTTCTTATTCGTAATTGCCTAGCGCCAGAGCGAGTGATAGGAAAAAAACCTCAAACAAAATGGGGAAGAAAAAACACGGCTGTCATTCGTCGTGTGGCTGGGGCACATGAGAGAGAGAAGCGGCAAGGCAACAACGTTTCGTTAACAACGACGACCAAAGCTCAAAGAGCGGTGTACTTAACTTTTGTTAAACCGAAAATTAGCCATGCCCATTGCAACATGATGTGGAAGGCAGCAGCAACGACAACAATAGCTTGCCTGCCGCAAAGCGTGGCAAGCAAGCGAATGGTAAAAGCAAAAACAAAAGACAAAACAAGACAATGCCTTGACTGAGTTTTTTTTGTAGATGCGGAAAATTGCTAGTAGTTGTTGTTTCTGACAATTTGATTGCTGCTGCAAACGGAAAATCAATTTTTAATTGCAACAAATTCGATGCTTGCGAGCCAAACAAATTGCTGGACGGCCAAAAAAGGTAAATTACCGCTTGCGCTCGATAGCAACACAAAAACAATTGGCATTTTGAGTCAGAAACGGGTTTAACGGTCACCGAGCGAGCGAACACAGCTGACGCAGCAGCCAGCTGCATTATCGTTTGAGGAAATGCGACAGAACATCAGATCAGATCGGCCAGAGGAGCAATAACTCAAAATCTCAACGAGCGGTGCATTGAACCGTTGTTCATTAGCATACATACGCGTGTGGGACAGAGATGACAATAGCCACTTTCGATTATTGAACTTGTCAAAAAAGAAAAAAACAAAAAATGCCGTCTGCCTGGTGTGTGTCCAGTTGCCAAACGGCCATTTTATTCATTTGTTTAATAACTTACCGTTTTCTGCCTTTGAGCTGGAAACCTCTCCCTTCCTTTCCTTCTTTGCGTGAACCGAAAAGAGGCGATAAATTGTATTATTAAAAGTCGCTCCAATGCGGGACACGATAAAAACTACAAGCCAAACACGATAAGGCGAGCGACAAGAGAGAGAGATAGAGAACACTGCTCGAGAGAGACCACCCCTCCGGCTTGTTGACGGAAATTGCGACAGCAACAATTACAGCATTTTATTGATTTTTAACAAAGCATCGAATTGGCACGAAGCAGCAGTCGTCTAGTGTTTTGCATTTGCACTTGGATTTTGCTTTTCGCTTATTTTGCAACTTTTTTTCACACTTTTGACTTTTTGCAGAGAATAACACAAAAGAATTTCGCACACACCAACACACTCGCGCACACACACAAGCCACACACGCGCTCCGACTTCAATGTCAACTTCGTCTTTGCTTTTTGTGCCTCTGCTTCCTTCTTCTTCTCTGCTTCTGTTGCGATAAATTTTTGGTTATTTGGATGAATGCAAATTAATTACCGTCGCTCTGCACTAATTTAATCTTGCAGCGAACACCAATTATGTATGCCCGCGGCTTTTAACTAAACCCGCCAAGTCAAGCGCGCGATTTTCATGTAAAAATGCCCCAACAGAATTCAGAAAAAGGCGTTCTTTTCCTGTTCGCGCCGAAAGACTTTTTTCCGTACGTTGGGGCTTGGTTTTGCTAGAGATTTTATTTGTTGTTGTTTGGCGACGAGCAATGTTCAAAGCTTGTCCAAGCTTGTTAAAGCGTGCTCATTTTTGCGTTTCAAGCAGCTGTTTGCGCCTTTTCTGTACAGTTTATGATCGATATATATTTTTAGACTGCCAGAATATGGATATCGATATTTTTGTGCGATAAGCGGAACGTATTGGGCGGTTGGATAGCCTTCTTTTGAAAATAACAAAATTATAGCGATTAGAAATGAAACTGTGAAACCGTGATGCTTGCCTAGTGCTCAGTGCTCTCTCGATATTCTCTTAAATTTGTGTTTTATTTTGATTTATTTTCTAGAGAGCTGGAGCGCCTAAACAGTTGAAACTGCATCAGGACTACACCATCGGTAGATTCCGCCGCCCCCGACCGTACTCCACACAACTACATATAAAATGTGTAAAAGAACGGTTCTACGTATATTCTTAGGCTATACGGCAGGATGTTGGAGTCGCGACACACTGACGACAGACTGGAATTCCCAAGACCTGCCCCCAAAAACTAGTCGACATTCCTAGAGAGCTGGCGCCAAAAGGCGTGTCGCTAATTGTCCTCTAAACGACGGCGTTAGGCGCCAACTTTCCAACCGGAAGTAAGGGTAGGAATGGGAAAGGCATCGTCGGATTTGATTCGCCTTGTAGCCGTCGCTGTGACTTTGACTGGTACTGTAAGTATCTCCGACATTTGACCATTTAGTTGCCACATCATAGCTAATAATAAAGGCTAATTAAGCACTTCTGTGACAACACCTGTATGTGGTTCGAGGAAGCATCACAGCACCCCTCTAATGACAATAAATCGCCCGCTAAGTGTCACCGATGAGCATCTGCATCTCAAGCAGATTCCACTCCAGAGCCAGGGGATTGGAGTGGGGGCTATAGCTAGGCCGCTTCTAATTAATTTATGATTTTCCTCACCGCATTAATCTCCCTCGGATGGCGGCGGGGCTGTCGCGAGCCCCACCAAACAAGACAACAACAACAAAATGTCACGCAGATGTGGCCACAACACAATGTTGGGTAGGGGAGCAGGGGGAAACTGGCAACGCATTGGGGTATGGGCATTTTGTGGCATTAGGAGGGCGGGCTCATGTTCGGGTTAGACATTTGTCATAATTACATAAGTAGGATGGCGTCAAACAAAGGAATTAGTTGGCTAAAGGGGAATCGATCAAGGCGGGAGACTCGAGATGCAGCAACATGCCAAAGGAGATGCAAAGATCCGCAAAAGAAGAGCAAGGCAAGGAATACTTTCTTGGGAATTAATTAAAACATATGCTCATCAGTTAGGGCCATAAATCTGCCAGCGACAATTATCAGATTCAATTTGTGCGTGAAACTGTTTGATATCACAGACACAAACACAAACACAGACACAAACGGGGAGTACGACAAGCGTACAAGTTGCAGCAGAACAGCCATTGCCGATGTCAATTAGTAGACTCTCTCAGCATAGAGGATCGTATCTCCCCCCTCTCTCTGTTGCAACAGAGTCCACCCCTTTCACTGGGCCAATTTGACGCCACTCGAGGGGAGTGCGTTTGGCTCATTAAAATGCCGGGCCGGGCCGTTCCGAGCCGTGCCGTGCACAATTGTTGTGGAAATTGAGGGAAAACTCAACTCCCCCCCCAACCACCTCACCCAGTGAGTGCATCACAGAACCCAGTGGCATCGATGCGTTGAGGTGGCAACATCAGACACCACACCACACCACACTTTCTCTCTCAATCTAGAGTACGTAGCGGTATCTGTCAGATCCATGGACGCGGAGGCCTGAGTAATTGCACCAAATTAATTGCCCGCCGCCTGTCAGGGCTCACATTGTCTGCTAATTTTTGTCCGATTGCAATGCCGAGGCAAAGTTTTCGTTTAATTGTCGCCATCAGCAAGCAGCCCATGAATTCAAATCGATTCTACTTGTTCCCCATACAACAAAACAAACGCCAGCAAAGTCCGTAAAGAACAACGAAAGCGGAGTACGGATCTGTATCGGTTGTCCCGCTTCGCTCGATGGTGTCGTAAAAAAAAAACGGAGATCACTTTTATATGATTTAAACTGCATGTTTTGTACAAATCTAATTTGATAATTGGTTGTAATTTATGAGCCTTGTCTGCTCTCTGAAAGCATAAACACGACACGGAATGACGGAATGACGCCTTCAACTTCACGTACTCCTCCCCAAACATGTTTCTTGGAACAGGGAGCCGGGAAATGGGAACCGGGAGCCGGGAGCCGGGAGCCGGTTGCCGGCAGCCTGCAACTGAATTCGAAACGAGCTCACATTAAATTAATAATATGCAGCAGCAGTGTTCATTCCCTCTCTCTCTCTATCATTTTTTCTTAATTATTATTATTTATATCTGTCAGCCTATAGGGCGGTGCAGAGGATGGAAGCAACCAACTCTTGGGGAATTTTTTATGAATGAAATTAAATCCGAGGCAAATCGACAACACAAATCGAGTTATATGCTGGTCCAGGCAAATGTTTGTTAGGCCAATGACCGGCAAAGGCTAGAGATTGGAGCCAAGGTAGAGATGAGATACATTACATTGCATTACATATACAAAATACTCGCATTTATATGTTTTTATTGTTCACAATTAGCTGACCATAATAATGGTGATGAATGACCAGACCATTGGGCATATTTACTTGCCACCCCAACCAGGTCCGTGTGTGGAGATATGCCCCCGGGGATGGATGGTAGTTGCATGGTACATGGGAAAAAAATAGGCAATCTGGTGCAACGGATATTTGGGTACCATATACTCCATTCGCATATTCCGGAAAATGGCGCAATTAATGTAGTCGGACCACTCGCGCGTATCGTTCGTGTGGCACATCTCCGATATACCAAAGTCGTATATCTCTTTGCGGAGGGGCCAAAATATGGGATGAACGTATAATGAGACATTACGGATTCGAGGCTTTAGCCAGTCATATACAATGGGAACGTTGTAGAGGGTGGATTTACCGCGGCACACCTTGGTGACCCCGACACGATCTGGTATATATTTCCAATTGGGATTATCGGTTAGTACGGGATACCACCAGTATATGGTAGTATGATAATCTGTGGTGTGACTTGACGGCCAAGTGGGTGCCGGCGTTCTCGACCTTTTTGCTTTAATCTTTTTTGGAGGCCGCAGAAAGTTGACCCCGCCCCAAGGATTCGCTGGCCAACTGTCGGTGGTTTCCTCTGCGTTGCGATAGCGGCCTTGAACAGCTTCAACACTGGTGGCCACTGTTTTCGTGTAACGAGTCGTAATGCCATCATTCTCTGAACTGGCCCTTAAGCCTTGCGTCGTTTTGGATTGCTGGGCGGCTGGTGGGAGGGCTCCAGGAAATAGACGAATAAGCCCATCAACTGGCGCGCTGCTATTTGTTCGCATCCCATTGCCTTGTGTTTCGTTGTACCCAGAGACATTGGAGTCGGCAGCCACCATCTGACCTCTGATTGTGCCGCCCGCGGACTGTGTTGTTGACTTCGTTTCCAGTTGGATGACATTGGAAACCCACGAGTGGCTGTGTACGATGCTCTCGCTGATATTTTGGAATGATTTGTCCGGTTCCTTAACGCTCAGCAGAGGCGGCATAGCATGCACCAGGAATGGCATCACCTGGAATCGCACATCGGGATGGCTTTGGGATAGCGAATTTGCACTGAATGTGGATAGAACTTACGCTAATCAGGCAACCGATGCCAACAAATACTAGATAATTTTTCTTCATCACTTGAGTTTGTTGTGAATAAAATAAATATATGTATTTTTTGTATTGTTTTTTGTCTTTCGTATTTTGTGTTGTTTGCTCCTGCCCTGCTATGTATGTATGTACTACATATGTAGCACCTAAACAATGGGAAAAGCAAAGCAAAGCCAAGTAGATAAAATTAACATTGCCTTGGCTAGGTTTTCCTTTTGTTTTGTTTTGTTTTTTGTTCTGTTTTATGCCAAGTGTTGAGCAGAGCAGAAATTCCATAAATTAGAGATCAAATAACAAAGATATGTACATAACTACATTGTACATTGTACACTTTCACACTTATACATATACAAATGTATGTATACGTACGAGTATATAGAACTGCAACTGCTAATTGGGAATGGAATGAGTTTTTGTTTTTTTTTTTATTTCTTTTATTGAGTTTTCCGCAACATTCACAATTTATACGTTAACTCCTTTCTATACCATTTATGCCAATAGCCGATCTGATGCAATGGATATTTGGGTATCAGATATTCCATTCGCATATTCCGCAATATGGCGCAATTATTGTACAGCAGCCAATCGTCCATTGCCGATATGTGGCAGGCCTCCGATCTACCCATAGTGTAGATCTCTCTTCGGAGATCCAACCAGATGGGCCTGTACTTGCTGAACACTTTAAAATTCATTGTTTCATTCAATAGGATGCGGCGTTCAAGCCACTTGTATACCCTTGGCTTGTTGTAAATTGTCGACTTGCCTCTGCACACTTTGGTCTGTGGCTTGTTGTATTTAAGAGCATAGTTGCCACCCCATGGCGTATCCTCCAGAATTTCTGTCATGCTACTCTTCACTTGGTAGTGCATTCGCGTATCTTGCCAAAGTACTCCGAAGGTGATACCCCACGGATTGAACACCCAATTTCCCATTCTATCGCTATGCAAACGCGGTATGGATACCGTTCGCTCCAAACTTTTGGTACGTATTATATTATCGCCTGCTCTAGGTTGTATTTTTGGGGCGCGTTCTCCTGGTGCTGCTGCATCTTCAGTGCCATTTCCATCAGCCGAAAAATTTCCAACATCACCTTTTGGCTTAACTTTGGGCTTGGCCCAGAAGTTTAAGCCAGCCTTTGTGAGCGGATGAGGTGCCACTAATCGTTTAGTTGTAGACGACACTATAAATTTCACTGGTGCTGCTGCTGCTGTTGCCGCTGCTTTTTCCGCTGCTTTTTCCGCTGTGCGAAGTTTACTCCGATAGGCACCCGGAAACAGGCCCATTTTCTCCTGGCCAGGCCATGTCCCATTCGTCCTGATTTGACGTTCCGATTTATGGCTGCGGTATCGAGAGCTAGCGGCAGCCGCCTCCAGGTCCTCCAGGACCATCTCAGTCTTCCATGGAACGCTGCTGTTCGCGGCCGCGAAACTCTGATTGCTGGCAGTCCGGTAAGTGGCGGCGCCGGGCAGGGGTATGGCAAGCACAATAAAAGGCAACACCTGCAAGTGCAACGTGGTAATGCGGCCATAACGATGCGGCTGGATGGATTTTAGATGTTGCAAGAACTTACGCTAATCAGGCAGCCGAGGCCAATAAATACTGAATAAATTCTCTTCATCGTTTGTGCAACTGTAAAATTTTACTTATATGAAAAATAAACTTGTGTTTGCCCTCTCTCCCGTGTTTGCGAGTTAAGTATAAAACACTAGCTAGCTGGCAACTGTACTACTATACTATACTAAACTGCAATGAAATATTTAGCTAAGGCTCCTGTCCAAGGCACACCGGATTGAAATATATTTCCTATGAAAATCTGAAGAATTCTATGGGGCTTAACGTATAATTTACATTCCCCATGCAGTCATTATTCCATCAGCCATGGACGCATTCAATCCAAAACTCAATGCACACCAGTTTCTACATGTTTCTAGGCACATTTTCCGTCTGGCATTACCTACACATGCCAATGCCCATGCCATGCCCATGCCCATGCCCATGCCCATGCCCATGCCCATGCCCATGCCCATGCCATGTCCATGCCCATGCTCTGACCTATTAGTTTGTCACACAAATTGGGCAAAAATGAAGCAAACAAACAGACAGCCCCACGAATTAATCAGGCTACAATTTCCACAAAGAGTTCAATGCACGCCCTCCCATGGTAAGGGAAGGGAAGGGAAGGTCCAATGGTGCACCTTTGACAACTGTAATCGGAAACCGAAACCACGAATGCCGTGGGAGTGTCAGAACGTCACAGATACTCGAACTCGATACAGATGTTTAAGCTGTGGATGCCAGACAACCCGCAGGATCTGAGTGCATCATTAGCGGAGTGCGATGACAAAAAACGTGAAGGAAAAACAAAGAAGTGAAGGAAAGACTGACTGCACCACGCGACTGCGCCTCCGTCTTCAAGTTGGACTGTGATTTATGCTGCGTGCGCCTGACAAACACTTGAGAAGTGATGATTTATAATGGAGATGCATGCTCGGTTATTAATTAAATTGTGACACGGTTGTGCTCCATTTAACGTTAAATGCGAGAGCGGATCAGATGGGCACCAGAATGCGCTGATGGGACAGGGTTAGGGCTGGGGATGGAGATGGAGATGGGTATAGGGATAGGGATAGGGATCTCATGCCATAACTGGCCAAAGGGCTAACAAATTGTTAATTGATTCGAGATGCCACGACAACAAGCCAAGAGGCCACAAACCGAGAGAGGGAGAGGGAGAGCGAGAGAGAGCGAGAGAGAGAGAACAGAAGAAGAACAGACTCCGCGTCTCGTCTGGCAGCGGAATTTGAAATATGGCAAGCAATAGTCGAATATTCATTTAGCGCAATTATGAAAATTAAGTTGTCATTTTGATTTGAATGCCCGCGACACTCGGGCATGCGGTCCCATTACCAAGTGCCCCATGCCCCCATGCACCATGCACCATGCACCATGCACCATGCACCATGCACCACCCCTCGTTAGGGGCAGACGTCGAGTATTCTCATTAAATTAAATCAAAATGACAGCGCAGCCCTGCTAAATGGATGCCTTGCAATTCGTCCTCTCGCCCCATCCATTCCAATGCAATGATCCCAGAGATATTCTGCTACTGTCTCTGCCGCTGCCTTTCTGGCTCTGAGTCTCTGGCGACTAATTAACGTGTTTTCACATATTTTGTTCAAGTCGTGCGTTAATAATGAAGACGTTATCACACCGCATCCAGCCACGGCACTGCCACTGGCACCGGCACCCTGTAGTAAGCGACGCGACGTGGAGCTGGCTTCCCGCCAATTGGCCAGCCAGCTAATTTCTGAGGCCTCGCACTATTGAAGATCGGATCTGCTCTGAATTATGTGTTCATAATTTCGAATTAATGAACGTTTCATTTGGGGCCACTGCTAGAGTAAATAAATAAAAAGTTTCTCCATACATTCATGACCCATTCTCGGGTGCTGGATGACCGAGTAAAATCATTCTTTATTGATTAGGTGCTTAGGTGTCTTTCATGGGATGGAATTTTGAAAAATACTGAGACAGATATTCCTTAGAAATCGATTAAATATACCCATGAGGGGGGAATATAATTCAAATAGAAATATCAGAGAAATTCTACACAAAGAGAGAAAAACTTAAAATACTCTAAAGATTTTTGTATCCAATGGAGACACGTGTCTGCATAATCAATCAATAAATCAATCAATCAATCAATCACACGCCCAATAATCAGTGGCATATGAAATATGTTTGCAAACGTATTAAATATATTTAGCAAAGCCATCGAAATATTAAATGCCGCTACTTGTAGACAATTAGCCAAAAATTATGGCTTTTAATCATAGCTGAATGTGTCTCAGAGAACACGAAAATGAAAATATAATATAGGGGAATATAGGGGAATGGGAATGCTAGCGAAAGACACGCCCAGACAGACACCCAAACGATTTTACACACATGTTTTAAAAATAAATCCACATGTGTGTCTGCTTCATCTCTGCCTCGACATCCGCATCGGCTACGGAAACAGGGCTATGCCTGTTTCTTTCACTCCTTCGGGAAAATGCAGACAGATAGCGAGAGAGTGAGACAGATAGCAGAGGCCACGCCCCGCCAGGCATGCGATCGTCTTGCGTGGATGTGCAGGATGCCCGAAATATTCAAATTAGTTTTCCGAATTCGCTCGACGCGCGCTGTTGTTTGTGCAGCGAGTTGCCTGCCGTTCGATCCTCGAAGCCACAGCAGTACCAAATTCAAATATGAATTCCCAATCGTCGGCGCGTCGGTATCCGCACAGTTTCTCCATCGATCAGATTCTGGCCAAGCCAGAGCTGCGCACCACCAATAACTTCGAGGTGATTGGCACGCCACAAGCCGCATCGCAGGATGACAGTGGCAGCGGCAGCACTTGTGATGTGTCGCGCGTCTCCAGTCCGGCCACATCGAGCTGCATGGAGGATGCTCTGGACGATTCCAAAAGTGATATAGATATTGCCTCAGATGACGGCAACGGTGCGTATTATTAATAGAAGAGCTCTGCAGCATAGCCGATAAAAGATAGCCAGAGAGAACCCAATCAAGTGGCAGCATTTCAAAATTACAAAATGGCTGAATGAATATAAAGTTGGTATTTTTGTTGAATTAATGACAATTAAGGAGGATTTTTGAACAGCTTCAACAGACGAGTCTATAAAGCCTATAAAGTCTGTATATCTGCAAGTTATTCCCTCAGCTTTGAAGCTGTGGGAAGCGGCAAATTTGTCTCACTATATCCTATAGCTTCCATAAAATCACATAAAATCCACATTTTGGTGACTGAAAATAATTCCAACAAAATATTAGTTGCTTCAATAATTAAGAGATCGGAAAGGCAAGCACAGTTTCTTGTGAAATTTATAGGATAAGCTTGCTTTCTTTTCTGCATCATATAAATATCGAGACTTAGACCGTGGATCATTTATGTTTCTCAGATATTCCTAGTTTTTGCTAGCAAAGAGAAACTCGCATAGATATGTGTTAGGTTCCCATTCATCTGGCTGCTGACTGATCTCATCTGTCATCAGTGCGATCAAGAAACAAATGGCCAAAAATTAGCTTCAGGGGGTGAACGAAAATACCCCAAAAATATAGAGAAACAAAAAACACCCCCTCCGCCACCACCTACGAGCAGCTAATGATGCAATTGTCAAAATCAACCATAAAGACAATGAAAGAGATCGAGCGATCGGGAAAAGATCTGAGAGGAAAGATGAGAGAGGAAGGTAAAGAGGGACAGCTAGTCCGCCCGTAGAGAAGGAATTTATATGACAATTTGTTTTCGGTCAGCCAAGAGAATGCCTCGCCAAATGGCCAATTAGAGGCTATGGCTGAATGAGATGTGGCTTTCTGATTGAAACGCTTGAGTGGGGTTGCCAACAGCCCCAGAGTGCCGCAAGGGCCTTGGTAAACGGATCGACAAATTACAATTAGCAGCAAATAGTTGGCACCGATCCTGGCAATGGGGTCGGCCCGCTGTCGGTAGCAATGAGTGTAGTGTCCAATTCAATGAATCAATTTCCCTTTGCCCATGCATTTCCTCCGCTTGCAGCGCTCGGCGACGATCGAAAGAAGCGACCGCGAACTGCCTTCTCGGCGGCACAAATCAAGGCACTGGAAACGGAGTTCGAGCGGGGCAAGTATCTGTCGGTGGCCAAGAGGACGGCGCTGGCAAAGCAGCTCCAGCTGACGGAGACGCAGGTGAGGACACGACCCAAACCCAAAAGGCAGACAGTTCCCGTTCCCTGCTAATCCGCACATTGTGCAGATCAAAATCTGGTTCCAGAATCGTCGCACCAAATGGAAGCGCAAGTACACGTCGGATGTGGAGACGCTGGCCTCCCACTACTACGCCCAGCTGGGCATCGGGGGCCTGGCCCGACCCATGGTGGTCGGAGATCGCCTCTGGCTCTTCAGCCAAACGCCCGCCGGCCCCACACCCATCCAGTCCATCATGCTGAACGGCAGTGGTTCCGCTGCGCCCATGACAGCGGCCACAGCGACGCCAATGCGTCCGTATCCAACCAGCGGCGGAATGCCACCGCTGCCGGTACCCAGTGTCATGGAGAGCGCTCGCAATGCCATTCTGTCCCGTGGACAGCCCCTCAACTTTGCCCTGCCCTTTGGCGTGTCCAAGTCGCCTGCGGGTGGAGGAGGTGGAGTGCCCTCCGGCAGCTATGTGCCGCGCTGCAAGTCCTATGCGGGAGGGTACATGGACTACGTCCCGCCACATCCTCAGAGCGAGGCATATCTCCAGCTGAAGTACGCCACCCTGACACCGGAAATGGAAACGGAAACAAGCTCGACCAACGGCCTGGCCGAGCTGGAACGTGTTTTTGGGGACGCCAATGCCAACTTTCTGCAGCACCGGAGCGTCCCTGGCACAGGAGGTGCCACGTCCTATGGTCACGAGGCACTGGCCCAGGCCCAGCGCAGCCGCAGACCCACGCAATCGGAGTCCGAGTGCAGCGACATCGACTGCGAGCAGCTGGACGAGGATGAGGAGACGGCAGCGGCAGTGGCAGCGGCAGCGGAGTAGCCAGCAGCCAACTATTTGGATGCAGTCATCTTAAGAATTTATTTTATGTATGTTCCAGTTTAGATAGGAAAACTACCCGTCAAGAAACTTGAATATCGAATTGTATCAAACATTTCAAGGGCAGACAAGTTCATAAGTCACGAAAGAGTGAAATACAATTTGGTTACAGCCCGATTGATGTCGTAGGCAATCCAGACTATTTGTAGCATATAATCTCCTTCCGGAAATGGCAGCACACTACTAAAATGGTGATTAAAAGTCGTGGTGGGTATCTTTTCCATGATAACAGCATCCTGGAAGCGAGAAAATAGTTGAAAATATATTTTTCAATTGTTGGACACTTGCACAATGGATTAACTTACGTTGAAAGGACACGAATGATTTATATTTGAGAATGAAGTAATTATGTTATAAAAGAACAATATAACTGGGTTCGATTTGGGATTGTTCAGGAATCTACATCCATCCACAGTGACATTGTACATGAACGGCCTATAACCGCTGAATCGTTTATGCAGCGATATATTTACCTAAGATTTCAGAGTGGGATTAGTAGGTGAAACTTGCACTGTGCGGCACTTACCTTTATTTTCTTAATCGGGGCTTGGTATAAGTTAAATTTAGTAGACATGTATTTATACGTCCGATTCACCGACTTTAGATAGCAGTACTCAAAGTCGCCAAACTCTTTATCGAAGGAAGTACATACAAAGTTGGTGAACTCGACCTTCGCTGCGACCTGCCCCACACGGCCTGAAGGTTTTAGAATGTATCCCAGTGCTTCAGGTGGTTTTACATACCTCAATGGCCACATATGCAACCACAATTAATGGAACGAGTACATTTATTTGGGGGGACATCTTCAAACGTCAAAGCCCTAAATGGAACTAAGTTTCACCAACGAACTTCGGCTATATTATTTCTTATAATCACATTTTATCGGTTTATCTTCATGCTATTTGCCCATTGACTTTAATGTCGCCTAAATACATTTTTTGTTTCTGCTTCACCTACTCGTATTGGTTTGATTTAAACATAAAATGATGCCTACGGATTGAGCAATTCGTTTGGTTTCGACTGTTAGTGCGGATACGTTAAATTTCCATCAGAATTTGAAAAGTTATATATGTGTGTACATGCTGCCAGTTACTAAGGGCTTTGGCAGGTAAGTCGATTGGTTCAAATTGCAACGGAATACAAAATTTGTTTCGAAGCAGCCCTAGATTGAGTCCGCAACACGCTGCGATAGAATTATCGAACCTTTAAAGAATTTTTAGAAACGCTGTCGTAGAGAGCTAACAGAGCTGTAGCCTGCAGGCTGTTACGGAGTGCTGTGAACAGCGCTGCTGCCATGCACAGAACATGTTATGTCAACATCTTGCCAGCAATTTGTTGTACAATGTTGCCAATTTGGTAATTTCAGGTTCCAATTATTGCCGCCCAGTGGCGCTGTTTGCTCACGGCACCACTTATACAGCTATTGGCTGCTAGTGGAAGCTCGAACTCGAGATTCCACGAAATCAAATAAATTAATTTTTATACCCGTACTCAAAAGTGGGTGGTGGTAAAGTGGGTGTGTAACGCAGGGAAACGTCCGACCCCATAAAGAAAACTCGCACATAGCCGGCATGCCTGTCTGTCTGTCCGTCTGTCCGCTGTCTGCTTGTTGAGCGCCAGCCAGAGCTAGGCTAGGGCAACCAAATTGGTTCCAGACATGTTACCCCAAGTGTTCAAAATCGCCCCGCCCCCTTCCCCCACACAAAGAACGAAAACGGGCAGGCACTTAAAGGTACGATAAACAAAACGCAGATCGAGAGATGACCAATCACCAGACGCCGATCTGAATCAGCGGATCATAATTAAGCCAGAATGAATAAAATCAGTGCTTCCCCCCCCCTCCCGCCACGCAACCAACTCTTCCCCGCCGCCACGCTGCCGCGTTCCCCAACCCCTAGCGGAGGATGTAGAATGAATGAACATGTACAATCTACATGTTAGATGTAGATATACATTGTAGATGAGATAGATAGCAGATGAGCAAAAAAATGTAAAATTTTTTTTTTTTTTTAAAAAATTATAAGCTCATATGTATATACTGACTGAGTACGGGTATAAGTAGAGTCGTGTCCCCAGAAACGACTCACACGTTCCTTCTCGTTTTAAAATTAGTTATGTATAAATCATGAATGTTTACTGCTTATTATTTTCTTTACTTACTTACTTATTTACTACTGCACTGCATTGCATACATATATGTGCATGCATATGTAAATGATATCCCACAATCCTAAATCAGTTTCACACAAAAAGTTTATATAGTTTTTATTTTTTATTACACATAATCATAATACAATTCGTAGTTTACCAAAGAGGTGCGCGCTGGTCGGTGCTAGCCAACTGAAGCTGCTTTCGAGGTACAATTTAGATGGTTTGGTGCTCTTCTTCGATTTCGATTTGTTTTCACGGCGGTGCGCATAGCATATAATTTAGCTTAAGATTACTCGAATACAGTATTCAACAATTTTGCAGTTGTTTTACTTGTAATACCTAATCAACATACATACATACAGACATGTATGTGGGTTAGTTATTACAACTAAAACAAGTCGTTTGTGTTTCATTCTTTAACAAATAAAATTGGACAATTGTGAGGGGGCAGGGATGGGGAGGGATAGGGCCTAATCTAGGAGAATTTTCAAATCGAGTTCAATGCGTTGTTGTGGATGATGCTGGGGCGAATGAAAATGTAAAGTGGGAAAGCGGGAAAGCGGAAAACTGGGCAACTGGGAACTCTAAGCAGGTGCAAACATTTACAACAATATGTGGATGGAGTACCAGCGTCCGGTCTTAGAAGTCGTACGAGCCGTTGGCTTCATCGTCGCCCTTGCGCACCTTGAAGATGAGCTTATAGAGGACGCCCGCCAGCAGGCCCCCGGCAATGGGACCCACCCAATATACCCAGTGGTCGGTCCACATGCCCTGGACAACGGCTGGGCCAAAGGAGCGGGCCGGATTCATGCTGGCGCCGCTCAACTTGATCTGCAATCAATAAAAACATTAATCACTGCATTGCCAGTCATTGGCTGGCATCTCTGTCAGCTGCCACTTACCGCACACAGATGTCCGGCGGCAATCGACAGGCCCACGGCCAGCGGCGCAGAGCCTTTGATGTCCTGGCGGCCCGGATCCGACACAGCCTTGACCACAAACACCAGAATAAAGGTGATCAGAGCTTCAATGAGCACTGGCTGCCACACATCCAGTGCAGGATCGTATGAGGAGACGCCCAGGCCGCTTCCCACAATGCCGCTGAGGGCCACCCGTATGACAGCAGCGCCAGCAATGGCGCCCACGCACTGCACAATGATGTAGAAGGCTGCCTTCAATATGCTGATCTCACCGACAATCAGGAAGCCCAAGGTCACTGCCGGATTGATGTGACAGCCACTGAGGTGGCCCAAGCCCTGGAAACAAAAGAGAGAGTAATGAAAATGTTTAATGAAAATTCCTTTAAATGGTAGTTCTCTCTCTCTCTCTCTCTCTCTATCTTTATCTCTCTGTGGGATCTATCAAATGTCAAGTTAACAATGCAGCAAAGACAACCTTTGTGCCCTTTGCCATGGCAGCTGATTTTCGCCTTCCAATTTTCCGTTGCACAATCGCCGTACGCTTGCCAGCGGATACGAGCAATTTGTCAGAGATGTGAGATGTGCACTCGAGAGGCAACGGCCACGGCAACATCGATGGATCGATGGATTGGATGGATGGCAAAGTTCAGGCTGAGATTCAGACAGAAAGTAAAAGTGCTGAGGGTTCTGTTGAGTCACTGACTCAGGCGCAGCACTTGGTGGCACTTGGGCAAATGTTAAATGGTAAATGGAAATCGAATCCAACAAATTGCCGCGAGTGCGAGTGTGAGTGCGAGTGTGAGTGGCGGTGTGAGTACTCCGTATTATGAATGAATCGAACGCACTGCATTCAAGGTCGATGTGCAGGCTTCTATGTTGCCCGATATATTTTTGTTTTGGTTGTTGTAGTTTTTTGGAGATACCAATTCGATTTCGATATGGATTTCTCGGTACACCGCGTCGCATGGCCAATGTCGTGCGTCGCTTTGCGTTTAATTAATAAATGCAATGCGCAAAAAATGTTGCACAAAAAGGTAAGCAAAAAATTGTGTTGGCCGTGCAACCACAAAACGCTAATTACAAAAGCCGCCAAGAGCAAGATCGACTCAGTTCAAGTCGGGCCTAGCCGAACCGAACCGAACCGAGAGCCCAGCCCAGCCCAGCCGAGCCGAACCTCAGCGCACCGCAGCGCACCAACAATCCAAACAACAATCCGAACAACTCGAACAACTTTTTGACATTTTGGTTATGCTCATGCGTGCCGGTCTACGGCCGTGCCGTGAAGTGCCATGCCGTGCAATTTCGTCTATAATATTTAGTTGCCACTTTTGTTGCACCTGCCTTTGCACCTGCCTCTTGGTCCAAGATCTCTGACAAGACTGTAGGCCTATCGCATTGTTCTCAACCCTCCCGCCTGCTCCGCTTAATTGCACACTCGAGGAGTCGTCAAATTAATCAAATTTATTGTTCGGCATCTACATATACATATATATCGACAAGAGCCATAATTAAATTTAATATATGCAAGCAAAGCAATCGCGATCGCTCGGATGCGTGTGAAGTCTGTGACTGGCAGAGGCTGAGTCATGGCCTATACATAGGCCTATACATAATCGTAAAATGAGATTAACGTTTGTGATTGGTGGCTTGACATGACATTGGCATAATGATCGAATGCCTGGGAGGATGCATTGCAGCAGAACGCTTTCGAGCTCTTCAAGTACTCCCCATAGATTAAAATGTTTCAGCTTTCATGCTTTGGATAGTGCCAAAAGATCGCTAGTCAGTTATTATTCGATCAGGCCTCGTGTCAGCACTCTCCGCTTCGAAGGCCATCTCGTGGCTACTCCAAGTCTGCCGTGGCATGGTGTCCCCCAGTGCCCCCGCTGCCCCTTCTGCCCAGCTATCGAGAGATCGATCGGTGTACGCATGTGCACAGCCCCTGCCCCTGCCCCTGCCCCTGCCCCAAACTGTGGCTCGACATTTACGCTTAAATCATATTTTATGGCTTTTCAGCTGAAAATTGAATGTTGAATGTTTGTTTCGTTCTGCTTTTCTGCAGCACTTTGGCGACTGTTGTTGGCCTGGCCTACTGGTTTTCCGATTCAATTCAAGTTCGCATCGGAATCGGAATCGGATCGGGCCAAAGCCAAAGCCAAAGTCGAAGTCGAAGTTTGTCTCCGACTTTGCCGATCGATCGCGAGAATTGGAAACGAAAACGTGAACGCAGCACGCACTTAATTTTTCTTGATTTTCCATAGAAATGGCAACACAGCTTGGCACAGCACAGCACAGCACAGCTTTTGCTTCAAGTTGGCATAAGATAAGGCCTTTTTAATTTGATTTTGAAACGAAACAAGGGAGGCATCTCCAATTATATTGTTGCTTCGACCCACCCTCTCCGCAGGTCTGGGTCTCCCTCACAGATTGCAACTTCCATTGGGTTTTTGTTTGTTCTTGATCTGTGCGCTATCTTCAGATCTATTCCTAGTACTACTAGAAGCATTATGTTTGCCAGCTTACCGCACAAATCAGACAAAAGTAAAGTGGAAGCCAAGCCCTCTAATTGTCGGGCCGTGCCACCGATAGACATCTAGGCAACATGAGGCGGACGGCATTTCAGATTTACGACCCGCATAGAACCCGCATAGTTGACAGATCGTATGTATGTATGGTGTGTACTATCTGTACGATCGGTAAATTAAAATGTGCCGTGTACGTTTCATTCGTATTGTTGTTTTGCTGTTTTCTATATCTATTATTTCTTATTAGTTGATTTTTCAATTTAATTCAACTCTAATCGATTTGCATTTTCTGGGCTCCACTTCCTTTTGGCAGTCTGTCAGCTGACACCCCGATGCTGCTTGCATACAAATGTGGATCTTCAAATGATCTTCTACTGAATGTTGGTGCCGTGCCAGAGAAAGGCACACGATACCCGGCTTGAGTAGAGGCTTGGGTGCATGTATTATATTTCCAGAGATATTTATATTTCCCCCTCCCCGCCCCCAGCTTGGGCGCTTGCCATTCCAAGGTACAAAACTACCTGGATATTAAGCACGTTTCTCAATTTGACGCCATGTCTACACCTTGCCATGCTCCATTGAGCAGTTAATGCACTGACGATAACGATAACGCTGACGAACGTACTGCCGGCATTGTCGTCACACCTTGTGCTTGTGGGAAATTCTCCATTCATGCTGCACTGCACTGCACTGCACTGCACTGAGCTGAGCTTCAGAGCCTGCGCTTAATTTCGATCCGATAGGACTCGTGTCGCAACTGCCGCTCATCGAATATCTGTACATAATATTCATACATACATACATATGTATGTATGTATTTCTCATATGCCGTGAACGTGCCACAGGTTGGCAAACGAATCTCGTGACCGTCTCTTGCATCTTTCGCCTGGGTGTTGTTGGGCAACTAATTGGCCAGGCCAGGCCAGCCAGAAATGCCCCAGCGGCAGACAGGCAGGGTGGCAGACAGACAGGCAAGTGTCGCAAATGCTTCCAGGTGGAAATTAGTGAGGCAATCAGCGATAATGTGTCTGTCTACATTTATCTATTGGTAATCCTGCTACCGTGTTTTGGTTTCCCCTCCCGAGAGCGTTTTACTAATTTTCCATCAATTAGTTGCAACGTATCAAAGTTTCGCAGATCGAAAAAGTGCAGTACTGTCGATCGAATCATAAACAGAGAGATGGAGAGGGAGAGAGATAAAGAGAGCGAGAGCGTCATCTTAACATAACCAGATAACAGTTTCTATAATTAGAACACATCTGACCTGTTCTGTTCTGTTCTGCTCTGTTCTGTACTGTAGATCGTAGAAGCTTTTTCATGTTTGATCGATTGATTGGCATACTTAGGTTTTGTTTGTTGTTTTTGTTTGTTTGTTGTTGTTGCTGTGGCCATAAATTCAATGCAAAGCGAACATCGTTTTAAATGCTCGTCACATTTTCAGCAGCATAATTAAACGCATAATAATCTAATTGCATATTTTGCGTGTTGATTAATGTTAATTGCCTGCCACAGCACAGCGCAGCACAGCACAGCACAGACGTAAACGCATTCGTATTCGAACAACACTCATTCTCGTATTCGCACTCGTATTCGTATTCGTACTCGTACGCGTGCGTGTGTGCGCTTACATTCGCACGCAGACTTGAGCTGCATTCGTTTGCTTTGCTTTGCTTTGCCTCCCGGCCGCCCTGCCCACCCCTCTGCCCACTAGCCACTAGCTGGATCTTAAATGCCAATGCCTCTTGCCCAAAACGTTGCAACGTTTGTGAATGAGCGACGCACCGCCAGCTTGGCTTCGCTTTGGCTTTGGCTAACTTTTCTATGCTCGGGGCCGAAACTGTAACGCGGCGGTGGCGTGTCCTTGAACGCATGCACATATGTACCTATGTACGTACGTACGTACATATGTACGTACCCACCGAATCAATACGCACTAACTTGAATTTGAAATCTCCAACTCAAATCACAAATCTTGTTGTCGTTGTCGTTGCGTTCTCTTTGTGTGTGCCAATACACATCTGAATATTTATACAGAGGTGTGTGTGTGTGCGTGCGTATATTTACCTGTGCCAGTGTGGCCACTGTCAAGCCAAAGGTGAATGCAATCTGTGGTACACTTCCGCTCGTTGTGCTCCCAACGCCGACGAATACCAAGAAGAATGTGCCGACCAGTTCGCCGAGCAGAATCCGCCAGATTTTTTTGTCTTCGGTTATGTCAGCGACGCCAACGAGTTTCGACATTTCTGCAAAGAAAAAACAGACAAAAAAAATAAAATAAAATCAGTATAAGTAAACGAAAAAAACAACATTTAATTTTATCCAACTCCCAAGTCGATACAAATCTGCACAGCGCATGCCAAAACTCGAACTAATTATTAATTTATTTATGCACTTTCCGCTGTCATTCGCATCATCACTCAATCAATCAGTCAATCGGTCAATCAGCGCGCAGATGTAAAGAATCATTTAAGTAACAGGCTTAAAACATAACAGGCAAATTTCCTCTCTGCTCTCTCATGGCTATCAATTCGGTGCAATGAGCTTTGTGACACCCTCCCCCTACTTCTGCTGCGTCTTTCAGTCCGTCTCTCTCGTTCTCTCGTTCTGACACTGGGCACGGACTGTGTCAGTGGTCTACCTGCACAGCTTAAACAGCCCGAAACCCCGTTGCAAATAGTGCAATGTTAAACTTATCGAGTAACAGCAACACTTATGTTTGCAATCTGGCGATCATTTGCCCTTTGCTCGGCTTGCACAAGCAATTTGCATCATTTGATTAATTAATTTTTGTCAATATCACTTGGGTGTTTACTTCCTGTCATAATCGCGGCTGACTGGGCTGTCTTGCCTTGCCTAGGCTGCCTGGGCTGGGGGGATGAGTGCTAATGAGCAGGTGTAAATTAATTTGCCTGCTAGCAGCACTTTGGCAAATATTTGCAAAAAATAGCATTTGCTTAAGTAAAACTATTTATACGTACTCGCACTCGCACTCGTACAGGTGATGAAATCCTTTTAATTTCACTTTGTAACATTTATTTTTTGTGGAGCAAAGGAACTGCCCGCCGCGCTGAAGTGTTTTGGATGCCATAAAAGACTTTACCTCGTTCTCCGAAGCCCCATTTAATCCGCGTATAAAGTGAAATCTTATCGGGCCACGTTTAAGTAACCGTCACTTAACCGAAATGTCAGTCCGTCACTCAAGCACAGGGTCTCGGCCCCCCTGACCGCCCCGAAGCCACCCACTGATAAGTGTCGCGATGTTATCACTATCAAACCGTTCCACACTTCACTTAATACGGCAATTATCTCGCGTGTTTGCACCCTGGTCCCATGACACTGACACTCTGGCTGTGCGAGGAAACGAGGTAACACACCCAAGATAAAAGCCAGATACGAAAGGATGCGAGAGGGAAAGGGTCAACAAACAGTTGGCTACTGGAATCAGCTGCAGTCACTGCAGTTTCCGCAAAGTGAAAATATCAAATGAATGGAAATACCTTTGGCCAATATTCAAAATGCTCTGCAACGTGCTCTGAATACCTCTCCACTTCTCCTTCACGATCGGGAATGAGGGCTATAATTAACTGGGAGCTGTCACCGCTTCACCGAATCCAATCAAAATGTGGCGCCTACTTTTTTTTATCAGAATTCAATGATAAAATACCTCGAATATTTCAATTTTTAAGGGGGGTGAATAGTGATTAGAGGGTGACTAACAGTATTCAAATGTGTCAGAAGATAGGAGGATAATATCAGACATAGGAAATGTCAATTAAAGAGTATTTATTGTGTGCTGAATTCTGATTGCAGCGCAAAATTGTTAAATATTCAAGTTGTTTTGCATTCGCGGTGGTGAATACGGGTACACCCACCCATGGATACATCCGATCCAAAGGCCGAGAAGTAAGTACCATAAATAAGAGTGGTAAATGAAACCAGATCAGCATGTTGACAAGCATCGCAATTGCCCAAAAGGCAATTAGCATATGGGTGGAAATTTATGGGTATATTGATTTAATTTAATTCAGTCTGTTCGTTCTGTATTCTATCGCCTCCCCAAATGCAGATTCCGTTTAAGAAACAAATTTTAATTGAAATTAATTAAAAATAACAAAACGTCAAGCATAATTACACGCGCATTGACGAGCGAGACAAACAGAAATGATTCAATGGTTCAATCAATCAATAATTTGGCGGGGAAATTAATAACTTCATCTTGCCAAGAGCCAAGCCAAGCCAGGCACTTGCCGCATTAATCACGAATCGAATTGCAAAATCGCGATTCAAGTTCAATGGAACCTCCGAGACATTAATTAGCAATTGGTTGCGCCCCTCAGCTCTCTCAGTTGTGACAAAAAAAAAAAAACCACTTGGATGGCTGTGCAGTGCAGTGCATCTTTGTCACTCACTTTAAGCTGTTTTCCCTGATGAATTTTCCTGCCCGGCTGTCTTTTCTTGCCTTCTCAACCAACGGTGTGTATATGACTGGGGGACTTTGTGGAATAGGCTTGTTGGGGGTTTTACTTGCTTAAGTTATCAACTGAACGCAGTTTCATAATTGATGGGCTTTATATCGTTACCTCTGGTTTTGCTTGGTTGTCAGGAAGCAAAAACCATAAAGATAAAGTAGTTGGTGCTACCTAAAAATAGGTCTTATCGCCAGAGAGAGCCTACCAAAAATAATCTAAATTGGAGCTTGGGGTAGCTACCTAGTTGGCATGACAACCTTCGGGGCAGGTTTGTGTGGTAGGCTTTCTTGTCACATCCTTGGAGCCGGGCTAATGCTCAACAATAAACATCTTGAGATGCCTTTTGTTTGCCATTGAAATGGGTCTGAAGAAAATGCGAAATCCAATAAATTATTGTGGCTGGCGGGCACATTAAAATAAAATGGAATTAACAAAAGGGAAAGAAACAAAAACAAAACAAAAAACAAAACAAAAAACACCATAATAATAATAATAACAACAATTACACACAATAGTCATCAATTGGAAGGTGAGGGCGTGCCGACGAGTCATTGAGTGGATTCCATTATTTTTGCCAAGAAATCGCAGACCAGACAATAACAATCCATCAGCAAGGCCAGATTTAGGCAGAGATAGTCGACATTTGCCAGCTGAAGATTTATTATTTGTGTTAATTTCGGTTTCCAATTTGTCTCGCACAATTTCATAATTAATTGATAATAAACGAATTAATTGTAATAGATTTTTAATTTATAAAAGAATTCCCCAAAGGGTTGGGTGGCTCTCATTAGTTTCCCCTACCAGCTGCTGCATGTTAGCGCCATCTGCCACAGCGTTATCAATCGCAATGTCATTGCCATGATTGACACGAAATTAATTAGTGGATGGGCAAACATCAAACGCTGTGCTCTTCCGCTATCTCTACTGGGGCCCAGAGTACGTTTAATATTTTATTTCTTTCAACGCGAGCAATTCCAGCCGCATGTGTCATCTCACATTTTGTCGCTCGCAAATTGATTCTGGAGTGCCAGAGAAGAAGAGAACTTGCTTCGCCCTGACCCACATACCGATATAAAGTGCCAAACAGACACAACTGTACCTGGCACACACACACACGGACACACAGTGGACTTTTCATAGCTTTGTCCCGTTTTCTTTTTGCACAGCCAAACGGAAATTTGAAATTCAAAACAGGTACAGAGTGGCTTCGTTTACGCTATTGTTTCTGTGTCTTACTCCTTACTCTCTTTCTCGCGTCGCTTCCGTGTTTGACAGCCACAACAAGCAAGCCGAAAAACAAAACAACAACAACAACGAGCCAAAATGATCAAAACAATTTCTGTATTATTCGTACCCGAAGAGATTCAGATCTCTTTCAGGTAAAGTTTTTTCAAGTGTTTTTTATACTCTTTCCAGGGGCATATTTATGGTGAGTTTCAGCAGAAGCTTTTCAATGTTAAAGAAATGAAAATTGGATTGGAACATTGGAAGTAAATGAGAGCATTGGAAAATAATGAGAAGGGTATGAAGGGTAGATTTTATGCTTTTATACTGTCCTGTTTTATTGTTGTACCTAAATTAAAGGGTATCCCATCTTCGTTATATTGCAGAAAGTCATATTTGAATGCCCTGCAAATGTCAAGGTCGTAGCACACGTTTTACAATTTCCAGGAATCTCGGCACTTTCTCCAGTCGCTCGTAAAACCCTGGAAATCTTGATTTACCTTTCATGCAAAACGAAACCATTTGAGTAGAATTATTCTGGTATTTCGCAATGCATTAGATAAAATCTCAAATCCGCGGCTTGCTCGCTTTCATGTGCCGTGGAGCTTTCTCGTTCTCCCTAAAGATTTATGACCACTGCCCGCGGAACTGATGGCCGGCTGGCCGGCCGACAGACCGACTAACTGACCGATAAGATAATCGTAGAGCAGGTAAGGCAAGGCGATGTGTGAGTCAGTTTGGGGGCTGCTCAGTGGGGCTGAGTGCTTTCAGATAGCCAGAGTTTAGGATCTCCATTTAAGGTTCGATTTGGCTCAGTTGCGTAATGGACAGGCGTGTAATTATCGTACAATTACCAACTCCCTGGCACTGGCCGCCGCTCCAAGCCAAATATAGTCATCCCCACAATATTGTATGTGGCCTATTCGGACGGGAATGGAATCTATGCCAGTAAGGCATTCCCGCTTTGGCTCTAGGCCATTAAATGCATGTTTGGCCGCTATGGAGAAAGCCGCTGCAGCTGCTACGAGTAGTATAAACTTGATGTGGCTGCGGCTGCGGACATCCGCTCGACATGGACTTGCCCGTTGTTGTGGCTCGTCGCATCCTGCAGCTCGTAAAACATGCACTGGGAGAAGCGAATGGTGTGCTTAATCATCTGGGCTGGCGGGAAAGAAACCAATCCCCTTTCTTTCCGTGCTTCTTGTGGCAGCCTTGGGCACTCAGCAATGCACTCAGCAGTCAGAGTCAAGGTGGAGGCGTGGCCTGGCTGCGCTACACGTGCCGTCTCTTCACTCTGGAGGCCAATTAAAAGGCTTGGCCTCCAACCACACCCTTATCCCTTGGCTCCCGAGTCCCCCGATGCCTTGTTATGCTTATTGGGGACTCATGACTTATCTGCTTATTATTAGAACATGAGCAAATGTCATCGCCTAGCGCCTGTTCTTCTGTTCCACATTTCTGCTGCCTTCCGCGCATTAATTCGGTGCAGACACGCGAATAAGCCATACATTTGCTAATTTAGCTATGTTTTTCCCTACATGTTTTTTAATGAATAATAAATAAATGAAGAGCCGGAGGAGACTGACAGCAAGGCGGAATATCGTTGGGAAATGTCTGTATAATATTTTGTTACTTCTCTAATCATGGTTCGCTTAGTAGAAAGCGAAAGCAAGCTTGTGAAATGTAAATAAAGTGAAGCTTTAGCTTTGCTTATTTTGCTGAGCTTTGGCTTGATCTGCACGCACTCACGCGCAGGAGGAGAGAGAGAGAGAGAGAGTGTGAGAACCAAAGCGCATCACAAAGAGAACGAATGCCGCAAAGCGACAAATGAAGCTCTGCACTTAATCGCTGGCTTGTGTCGTCGCAGCTTTTTTGCAGTACCGTTAGTTCGGCTTAAGGTGCGGCCAGGCTAATGTGCGTGCACACACACTCACACACTAAATCACTTGGGTTATTTACGTGCGTATGCAAATCGTGTGTGTATTTATATATACATCTGTTATTGTTATTGTCGTTATTCTCTGCTTCAGCTTAACCGAAGCTCACACACACACACTGGCATAAATTTCCCACATGCCAATTGTTTAAGTGCAAAACAAAAGGTTCTCTTCGCAGTTTGTTTTCATTCCGTATCGCATCGTCTCGTCTATAATAATTAATCAATTTAATCGGATTATTCATTCGGGTTTGCGCAACCCTTGGCACTCTCCTGGGGCAGGCAGGCAGACACTTTTGTCGAGTAAGGTGATGATTTTATTAATAATACATTGCGTTGCAATGGTTTAGCAGTGAGAAAGATCGAAACCTGTTCGCTGACCATTAATGAATTGCTATAAATTAATTAGTCACATGGGTATGGGTCGGTCGGGCGATGTATATGGACATGGGTTTAGGTCTGTAGCCGGGACTATTATGTTTTGGTCTGTGGTGCGGGGGGAGAAGGAATGTGTCCAGTATTTGTACAAATATCTTTATGGCCATTTTAGCCCGAATAACATTATGTGAGGCCTTAACTGGCTCCCTAAACAACGCCCATAAATCAGTGCGATATTTATTGATGTTTGCGGTTTATGACTAGCTTGAGAGATTACCATTTAACTGCGATAATTTGGGTGGAAACACAAAGGGAGTCTGCTCTTAGAGGGATTCCCCAGCTACTAATGGGGCGGGACGAAAGGCGAAAGAAAATAACTTTCCTTGCTTACCCCTCGTCACTACAGAACTATATCATTATATTTTTCTAGGAACTGCAGAGATGTGGAATTTTTAGCCTGCGAGAATTTCCGCTTTAGATTTATAATTAATATGCACAATGTACGCCCTGATCTGTCAAATTCAGCTTCTCTATGCGCAATAGAGAACATTTACGATTAATTCTAAGCTACGACGCAACTGCAAAAACTTTCCATGAGAACTAAAACGAACATCTCCGCTGTGCTGTGCCCCCAAGGGGCAGCTTATTAGCTTAAGTATAAGCTATCCGATTAACAGACAAGCAGCCTGATCTTCCATTGAGAACTACTATGTATACGCTGCATTAACTGTGCCACATGTCTACAATTTTCGCTATGCCATGGCATATGTGTGTACATTTCCTGTCTCCTAGTATTTTTGTGTGCTACTGTTTTGAATGCCATCCATCCAACGCAAAAACAATTTCACCGTGATGTCATGTCAGCCTGCCTCACGATTATTACTGTAATTTAATATCTACGAATTCAACTTCATAAAAACACACAGCAGAAAAAAACGTTAGGTGGGGGGATGGGGCATGGGGCATGGGGATCTCTCCATCGTCTGTCAGCCTGAACATGTATAATTTCCAGCGATGTTGGCCAGAGATGACAACGCATTGAATTACGAGGCGGTAAAGACATTAAGCGCCGAGGAGAAGAAATTATAAACACGTTTTGTGCGATAGAACTCCAGCGCCAGCGAGCGTAACAATTCTCACGCACATACCAAGACGGTCACGCCCCTACCATTACCCCCCTAAACTGCTCCACTGCTAGCAGGCACTGGAAGATATTTAATATTTAAAGCAAATACCGAACTTTGTGTTTAAACAATTGTCCAAACAGCAGCAGTGTGTGACGTTAATTAGCTGGAACCAAGAATTTCAATTATGGAAAACGAATTCGATTTTCAGCGCTGGGCAAATATTTTCGACTTTTATCAATTCGCCGCGGTGTTTGGTCGAGGCGGTGAACCTGACGCCAGAGATCGGAACGCTTAAAATTCGGCGCGGTGTGTGGTGGGGTTGGGGCACACGCACACACAACAAATGCAATTAAGATCTGTATTAATTGATGCTGTTGGGGCTGCACAAATAAGGTGGATCCGTAAGAGCAAAACACATTAGTTACCCATTTTGGACTCTTAATTGGTTTCTTTGACTTTCGCTACCCTCCTTTGGGGCAATAAACACTTTGAGCAGAAGCTTGAAACGCCAAAGAAACGGAAGCATTTCCAGATATCTCTAAAGTGTATCTGAAACTGCGGTACCTAAGCCGAATGAACTATTCCATCGCACATTTGGTTCTTATTTCGATTCGCTGGGCAGTTCATTCACTCTCACAAGTAGTTTTATTGCTTTCGTTGAGGAAGTCGAAGTCATCATCATCATTGTCATTGTTTAAATTACTGATATGAAGTCTCTGCTCTGCTGTTGTTTACCTATCAATGTCCGCTCTTTCTCCCGTCCGCCTGCCACCTCCCTCTTTCTTTTGAGGCTTTTGCTGTTCGGTTACAGAAATCATCAACGTCGGACCACAGACTTGGCACGGAAGCCAAGTCCAAGCAGCACAGAAACTAAAGCTGTAGAAAACCATAAGTAATGAAATGGTTTTAAATACTCTTCCACTGCCAATCTTTCACTCATTCTCATTGGTATTACCCAATATATAGTTCTATCTATATCTGTGTCTTTTTTAGTATTCTTTGGTTTCTTTCTGTCTATACAAAACTCTTGTCCGAATCATTATACCCTCTGCAAAAGGGCATACAAATTGCTTCGGGGCTAATTTGCCGTCTTTGTCATGCTTCGCTGTCGAAATTATCGTAAAGCAATCATGTCGTTATCGGTATATCGGTAATGGGCGGAGACAGCAGCCGCCCAGGCCCCACTTCAATTGAATGGACCCCCAAAAAGACGATTCATCAAAGGGGGGGATCTTTGAAGTTTCTTCTTATTAAAGATGATTAATAGCGGAGAGATGATTTATTTTCGGGGCGATCAAGAGAGTTAAGTTTGTTTAGAAAGTGAAAACTAAAACGGTAGAAACAGGAGGTTCGTAGAGGGTTTGAATAACTTTTTTAAACTGAAACCAATTTGTTATGGTTTTCAAATCAATTTTTTACTTCGTAATACAATTAATTATTCAAGCTCTAATTATATTAGAAACATTTAAGCAGATTTCATTCAAACTGTTCGACATTTCAATTCAGATTTAAATTGTGCTAATTTAGCTAAAATTGGTGCTAAATTAATTATTCACACTCTTCTAAATTGTTCTATAATGTGTTGCTAATTAATAATGGAAATTTCGCAATAATTTGCTTGAAACTTGCTTTATTTCATGTTCACAATTGATTTAAGATGTACATTATTATTCGAAATGGGCCAAGGAAAATTCCCTAAAGATGATTTATACACCCTCGACCTGTTTGATAGAACCGTGGGTGGTTTTTTTTTTTGACCAAAGAGAGCTTTCACAATCTTCAAAAATTTCAAATATTTTAATTGAGATTTGCTCCAAAACAAAACAATTTCGCACTCTCCGCCTTCGCGCTTAACCTTCGCGCACACGCACACACATGGTCTGTCTTCGCTCTCCAGCCTGCAGCCTCCAATCTCTATCCCCTACACCTCCGCGGGACACACACTCACCTGTTTTCTCAACCATTTTGTTGTCCGGGGGGGCTGTCTGGCACTCGAGTTTAGCAAGGCGTGTAGGTGGGGGGAGGTTGGCGCTTCAATCAAACTTTTGTTTTGCTTTCGTTTTCGAACAGAGTTATTTGATTTGTTTGATTTTTTTGGTTTTCGTCAGAGTAAAAGTAAAAGGGGCTGCACTTGGATCGAACTGAATTGTGCCAATAGCTTTTGTGGCCAGATGGTAATTGTTAAGGTTAAGAGTCTTGAGGTTGCACAATTGTCGGTAACACTCCAGCGGTGCGGGGGGGAATGGCGCAACAAATGAAATTTTGTCAAATAAATTTCAATTTCAATTTCACTCGAACGAATGTTTTTCCTTCTTCGGCGTGTTTATGTTCGCACTGGACTGGTGGGGCTCTCTCAATGGCAATTACCAATTATTTCTTCTCCGCCGTACCGAAATGGGAAAGCGCGTCGGACAATAACTCGATTTTACTGCGAGGTGTATTTTCAATTAAATTAGATTAAATTACTGTAAGCCGCTCCAAAGTTTCCTTTTCGAATTTCTATTTTGAGCTCAGCCTGGACACGAACCACTGAACTGTACTGAACTGTTTGTTATATTCGCTTTACGCTTCTCGCTTTTCTTCGCCGTCTCTGAGTCTGTGCTACCACGTTCACTGTTCGAGCGCAAATAAACGCTACCTTGCGCTTACCTGTAACTGATATACTCTCAGTCGACTGCGCTGTGGCGTCGCGGCTGTGCTGCTGGCAGCGTCTACGCTGGCGTCGGCTGTGGCAGTGGCAGAGCGACGTTAGATTTTAATTTTTGGGGCTTGCCCCACGGTTAATGGAAGGATCCCAGCCCTGCCCAGAATACACCTGTCCTCTGATGACTTCATCGAATGGAAAAAGGGGAGAGGCTGTTCCATTCACACTGCATGGAATATGAAAATTTATGTCATCCCAGGGAATGGCAAACAAAGCCAATTCAAGAACAATTTCTGTATTGAAATATTCCCTAAGTTTAGTTTTTAATTTATTGAGCATGGGGGGAAAGTTCACTTCCATTTTGAAAGTTTGCACACTGCTTTCAGGCTAAAAGTCTTTCGCACGCCATTTTAACTGATTGATGTGTGGGGTGTGCGGTGTGTGCCACGAGTATGGTTTATAGGCCTCGAGTGGCCATAAAATTATTTACGTTGATTATTCGAATTGTGACGGTCATGCAGAACGCCAAATTTCTAACCTGCAGACAGTATTATCGCCTCGAGGCATACCTTATCTCTGGAGCCGGAAAACACCTCAACACGGTTCTGGTTCTGTGATAATCCACAGCCGTTGCACGTGACTGCCCCACCTCCAGCTCCCCCCAGTTTAAAGAGAGTTTTTCCACTTGTTTTTGTGGCACATTAGTGCAGCTTTTTTCGCTAATGGGCCATGGTTGGATGGCCGCTTATCAATTTCACTTTTCACAGTTACCACTTTCCACAGCTTTAATATTGATTATGGATTTGCGCGGTGATGGCAAGAACAGGAACCTTGTCGTTGGCTGGATTATTTATATCAGGGCAGAGAGCAACAGTTGCAAGTTATTGACAAAACAAGTGGCGACGGGACCCCAAAATAAAGCAACAAATTTGCCGAATTCCTCATAGGTAAGTACATATCACATTCTCTATGTATGTGTGTTTTTGTTTGTGACAGCGTCTGGGCCCATTATGTGAATGTCTGTTAGCAAAAAGTCAGCGGGAATTTGCGAGTATGCGGGGATCTGAGGCTTCACTTTGCCGACTTTGCTAGCCTTAATGAGTAATTACATTTAATGCCAGTTGGCCATTAAAATGGCACGAACGATGGACGATCATCGTGGTGGGGTCCGTCTATGCTGTTTGTCGAATTAACAGAAAATCTGATATGGATACGCCCCCAGCCCCAATGCATAGCTACCTGTTCCGGAGGAGTGATTTCACTCTCATTTATGTCGGAAATCTTTTTTAATCCACAAGCTTGCTATAATTACTAAGCGCTCCCTCTCTCTCCTTTTTGGAGTTATAATGGCTTGGTAATTGTAGAATTTAATATTGTTATAAATCACTTTAATCGGTTTTGATATTTACGAAGAACAAGTGTATTTAAAACAGCAAGAATCCTGGACTGAGCCCCATAAAATATGCTCTAAAGATGCGACGAAAGATCAAAATATCTGCACCCTGAGTTTGTGCTGGCTGCCTTGCAAAATGGTAACAAAAGTTGCCAGAAACGAAATTTAAATTGTATTTTGTTCAATTATCTGTTTCCTCTGCACTGCACTTGTGTCTTGTGACGCTGTGAAAACAATGCGAGCAGACAACACAAAAACAATCATAAAGCCCAGAGGCTGGGGACAGACAGACAGACAGAAAGACAGACCCAGACTCTTCCAGTGGCATTGAAACGGTTTTGGAAGTGTAACTGTAACCGTGTGCGCTTCCAGGCATCCATTCAATCCAACTTGATGTGCAAAAACAACGAAACAAAACGAAAACAAAGATCACCAAAGTAACACCAGACAAAGTCGAAGCTGTTAATACCCTTGCAGATATGCATCGATGCCATGGGAGCGTAATTTGTATTCAAGTTTCCGTTTGAGCTAAAAACGAAACCAAGAAACTACAATAGGTTGATGCAATGCAACCAACTACCTACTGTACCTACTGTAATTGAAGCCACTTCCCTTGCTCTGTTACCTACTTTTGCTACAAGTCATAATGCCCTGCTCTTTGAGGGTATTAAATGCTAATCTCGTGTGCTTTGTAGCGTTGGCGTTGTGTCGCTCGTCGAAATGATGTACTTATGCACAGTTATTATGTTTTTTTTTGTGCGGGAAGGGCGGGAGGGGGCGACAGCTAATAAACGGAATAAATTGCACGGGTGCACAACACGGGGCCGGACAAACAATAAGCGCACATGAGTCGGTGGAAATTCAGTCGGTGTATGTAACCCAAACGAAATTGGATCAATCAGGTGGAATACGCATGGCAGGGTGTGATTGGATGATTGATTCAGGCCGGGGGGCGCACACAACCAAAATTCAAATAAAGGTCAATGTCACAGTGCTGTCTGTGCTGTCTCGTGCTCACCGCAAACGCCCCGATCCGCCCCTCGCCCTCGCCCTCGCCTGACACTTCATCAATCTTTGTTAGTAGTCACTGTGTACGCACACTTGTGCGAGTCAGTGTGCGAGTGTGTCTCTGGCGGCGATGCGTGAGTGTCCAACTCCAAGTCGAAGGTATGCAAATTTTGCCAACGCTCTGATTATGGTTTTTGCTCTATGGATCATGTGGATGTGGGTACATGTGCAGTACAGTGGAGACTTCTTTGGTGGAAAAAAAACCCATTCTGGGAGCTTATCCAGGAGTAACTTTTCTGTAGCTGATGCCTCTCATAATTAAAATTATTTGTATTACTTTATCTCCAATACGGACTTTTTCTCTGTATAAAGTCACCAGCTGGTCACGTGGAGCATTCACTGTACACTGTATACAAAATGTTTCAATAAGGCCGCAGCTTGCGGCTACACACACAAACTGCTGTTTGTCGCTGCCATTGTGTGGTTCTTCTCGTTATTGTTTTTGGCCAGCCACCACGTCCCCACCGTACTCCGTCTCCCCAACAAGTCCAATTTGTTGTTGAGTCTGGGGCTATTTGTTTTGCACATTTCCAACTCAACTTCTACTCCATCATCTCTGCAGCCATGACTAACGGTTTGGTGTGGTTTGGTTTGGTTTGGTTTGGCTGAGTGTATGTACGAGTGTATCTGTTGTGTTGCCATTGTCTTCGAGTTGTCTTCACGCATGCGCCGTGGGAAATATTTGCCAGAGATCACAAGTGCTATGCGGGCGTCGAAGCCCAATTTCTGGTCATGGAATCAAAACTGGTAAGATCTGCGTCTCGCATTCTCCACACACAGCACAGCACACCACTCGTACTCGTACTGTTCAGTGATCAGATCAAAGGCAAACGAGCATGAAAGAAATATATAAGAATAAAGATTGATTCTCACACACGAGGCGCGCACTTCCTGCTGCTGGTGAAGGTGGGTGCCGTGTCGCAAGGTGGGGGAGGGGGCTGGGCTAGCCCTCATTCGCATGGAGTACGGGGAAGCGCGTGCCGATCAAAAATTGCAGGCAATTAACAATGCCAATACCCACACTACACTGCCTGATCGATCTGCTCTGTCTTCTCTGTCTTCCTCCTCTGTCCACTCAACTGGGTAAAGTAAAGTTGAGAGCGATTGCCTTGATTGACACAAGCACTACTTGGTGCTTGTACGTACAGAATTTGCCATTTATGTTTACCCAAGTTCTTTCTCGCATACCCTGCCAGAGGCTGCTGCGCCTAATCCATTGAGCAAGAGTTTGAAGCGCGAGATGGAGGCATATCCATGGGAATCCATCTATGCCATAGGGAACTACTGTCTCTGAGTATTTTCCCATTTCACATTTCCATAAAAGTAAAGGTTAAAGTTAAAGTATCAACAGCTTCGACCTTCGAACTCAGTCCATCTTTTGTGTTGCTTTTTTTTTGGATGCGACGCTGCTTTTTTGTTTTATATAAAAATACATCAAGAACAGAATTTTTTTGTCGCATCTTTCACTGTGCGATTTGTGCGTTTTTTTTTTTTGTTTTTGTTCTCTCAGTTTTAGCTGGGTTTAGGCACGGCCGCTGTTGACTTATGGCGTACGTGTTATATATCGAGTGCCCATTAACATGGGGAACGGTAATGGGAACATAAAAACTAGCAATTGATGGAAATTTGCTTTGCCGTCCGATGCTGATAAGCCGACGCAGATGCTCAGCTTATTTTTTGCAAGCCCCTCAATTATGATGTGGTGAGCGGGGAGGGGAGGGTTGCACAAGGGGTCTTCAGACACACTTCAACGAAAGCGAAATTTGCTCGCTGCATGTGAGAATTTTGTAAGCTTCCGCGATATTCTCAGAAGTGCCAAAAAAATAGAAACCACTCCCCACACCGTACTTAAAATGCGAGTGGCGTTCTGTGGAGAATTAATTGTTTCCAGCTCTGGTCTGGAGTTCAATGAATTAAGATAATCAGAACTTGGTATGGAATTGCTGCGACTAGTTTCAATAGTGCGGAAGTAGCCCCGGCTGCCAGAACACTTGATTAAACAATTAAATGGCACCAATATACATATTGTAGATAAATAGATTGAAAGATCTTTTGATCTAGAGAGTAACTAAAAAGGAACGCAGCGCAGCTGATTAAAAATAAATCACAAGAAATTCCAGTCGATTCTGAGAGGTTGCTGGAATGTTTCTGGATTCAAGCCACAGCCCATCAGTAAGTTATCCTTAATTCCCATTAGTTAAGAGCTCATTCTCCATCAAAGACAGCCCATCCTTTATATCACGTCATTGCGGGACTGTCCAGCGACAGCTTTGAGTAGTGCCAACTAAGTGTGCCCGATTTAATTAATAGCTTCCTTAGAACAGAATTCTAATTTATTATTTCGCCAGTCAGTCAGTGGCACAATGAAAATTACTTTGCTTTGCCATATTTCATAGCGAGGGGTCACAGCGAGTCCTGTCCACAGGGGATTACGGGCCTGTATGCAAATGGAGCGCAATGTCATGGCAAGGACGGTACCAAGGACGACGGACCTTCCGTGTCTCAAAAGTGGGCGTTGGTCCTGTCAGGTGTCAAGTGTAGCCAGCTTGGGCGATACATTTTCTCTCGAATGAAATGTGGTTTTGATTTTAGCTTTTTGCACTGCACTAAGGGGAATTTATGGAAATTAGAAATTAGATCCCTATCTAATGGAAGGTTTCTGAGTGGATTTTTCACTCGAATTCCACCACAAAATAAAACCAAATTAAAATCGCGCGAATGCCAGAATATTTTCTTATTGGAATATATTGAGCGCAAAATATTGCTGGTAGACTGCTCGTCGTGTAACAGGCGGATTCTACACGTAGCTTACACTTACATGACGTAGCTCATAAAAGTGTGCTTTGTTTTACCAAGTCATTCCCCTTAGATATGCTACATACTCGTATATATTTACAGAAATTAAATATATTTATGGTTACTAAATTCCAAAATATGTGCCTCAATGGCATAAAAAGAGTTGAATGCACATCCAAAATCCAGCCACAATCTGTGAGTGAAGTGAATGTGATTTGCTTTGCTCTAATTTTAACGTTTTATGCCCCGCAATTCAATTCAATAATGGAAAGGTTCCCTCCAGCGTGTGGTGTGGCCCTAAATTAATTAAGAAAAGACATGATTTCTGGCCCAATGATAAGCAATAGATGGAAAATTTTCTGCAAACGTCACCTGATGACGTTAATGAGGGGGTTGGATGGGCTGGTTGGTTGTATCAATTTCACAATTGATATTTGCATGCCATAAAATGTTTTTCAATTACTTTCGGCTGATTTTTTTAATGATTTAATTACTATTTGGTTTGGTTTGTGTCTCGGCTAAGCCATGGCTCAAGTGTGGTGAATTTCGTTTATTATATCCATTAATCGGAGTTTAAGTTAAGTCCCTCCATTTATGTTTAGTCACTGATTTAGTTGCACTGATAAATGATGTGACAAGGAAGGGAGCGAGAGAGTCGCCGACTCTTTTTCCCACACGATCGATGACGTCGTCGGCGGCCCCCCCCGTCGTCGTCGTCGTTGTCTCCATCGTTTCGTTTCGTCTTTTGGGGCCTCGGCTGTTTCTGATTTTAATGCTGGCGCGCATTCATTTTCGTTGATTCCAAGTGCGCGGATCGCCTCCAAGCGAACCGATTCCTGGCCCCACAATAAAAGTAGCCTGCATTTTGTGTTCGTTCGTTGTCCAGTGCAAACGTTTGTGCGTGACCTTTTGTTGTGGAGTGTAGAAGTGAAACTGTTAGCAAGTGCCAAGGTGCCAACTGTGTGGAAACCAGAGAACGAAAAAAAAAAACAAGGTAAACTTCGAATAGTTACTATAATTTTCAGTCTCCACTGTCGTCCAGTGCCTGCATGTGCTGTTACTTTGTCTCCTTCGTTTTCGTTTCTATTTCTCTTTGTGGGATCCACTAAGCTTACAAGTTCCCCTCCATGTGTTTCCATCCACCTTTTATGTCTCTCAGTCTTCTCAGTTGGCCTTTCCTTCTCTTCCCCCAAATGACTGACTGACTGATCTGTTCTAAATAAACAGATGACAAGATCATCGCCGAATTTCCGTAGCATGTGTCAATCGTAAAAATTATAGAAATTTATATAGAATTAGGGGGCAAGACCCAAGTCTGCTATATCATTTTATAGATCTTTATTAAAAAGTTATTTTGGTTTTGTTTTTGTATAATTTCAAAACATAATCTCGTATTATTTTCATTTAATCGAAAAGAACTTACATCAATATTTTGAATTTTAATTTGGATAATCGATTCATATCGCCGCATGGGCCATGAATCATTTTTGTGGCAATTATATCAAACAGTAGTTGCACTTTTCCCGATGCGCATCATATACCATTATTTACTCATGTTTATATTTGAGCGCGTGACCGTGGGGACATTCCTGGTCCATAGCACCAATCAACACTTCTCAACACTTTCTGATGTGCGGAATGTTCAATAGTTTAGCAGGAGTTCAATCACAAACAGCGTGTCACGAGATTTTAATACATATATAGAGATTTTAGTCTTGTTCTCAGCAAATTCTGGGTAAATAAAACCCAAAAGAAAAAGATTATATAGTGGCTGCCTGTGGCTGCCAAAATGTATAATATTGGGACTTTGTATTTTGGCTTTGAGCTCAGCGTAGCGTGAAATGATTCGGTCGTGTAATCTATATAAGCTTTTAAGATTTCTATATATTTTCTATTGTCTGATTTAATTACGAGCAGAGCAGAGCAGCTACAGCTACAGCCATACCATGCCATGCCATGCCGTGATATGGTAATGGCTAATGGCTCGCGGGGGTTCTCTGTCCGTCTATGACACCCATGTTGCATGATTGATGGGCGGCTGGTAATAATTTTCTGGTTTGCTGGTCAGCAATTTGAAAAGTGAAATGATTTCATAAGTGGATCGCGACCCTTAAACCAGTGACCGTTGTGCTTAGTGTGACTCCACTGTGGCCCCATACTGTGGCAAAGTGTGGGAGTTGCCGATTAACATTAGCTTCGGTTTCGACGGCTGCATACCAATTCCAGTTAACTAAGTTTTATGGCTTTTTAAGTGACAAAGTTGCGACCAGACCAACAATTGCGAATGTCTATATCGGTGCATGCCATCAGCAGACGGCCAGCGACAATTGGAGGCTAGGTCGAGCGACAGCGACTGACAGCTAGATCTACGTAGAAATGGAGCCATTGAGCTACTTTATAATAGACGGAGTAGATCATGTGTGTGTGTGTGTGTGTGAGTTTGCTATAGAAAATCCATAGCTCTGATCTGATCGAGCCTGGAGCTGTAATATTTCTATAGCCATTTCTATAGCCATTTACAGCATATATATATTAATTCTAATTTCTAAACAACTTTTCGCAGCAAGTATGACAGATGCAATGCAAATAGTAAAATGCTAAACACAAAGCCCATACAATTTTGACACCTGTGCTCCGTGTGCCATAAAAGACATTGCGTCATCGGGCGACAACAGAAGATTAATACCCTTGTTAGTATCTGCGGTGTTTCATCTCTTTAATTAATGGCAAACAGCTTTGTTTGGGACCAGAATTTTCTTAACAACAAGTCGCCTCAAAATTTTCGTATAATTTAATTTAATGGCGATCGACGTTTATTAGCAGCCGCTCCGCGCCGCCACTCCACAAGGCACTTTCGAGTCAGAGTCAGTTCCGAGTTAAGGTTCGAGTTCAGGTTCATGAACCCCAAGTACGAGTATATTCGTACACGTTTTTGCATGCCACTGAAAATACCTTCGAAAAGCTAAAATGCGTCAAAATGCATTTTGTTGGCCATTCAATTGGGTGTGCAACAATTTGTGTGAGTTTTGTGTGTGATTCGTTCTCGCCGTTTGTGCTAATTTGTTGAGCAAACTTTTGCTTTATTGTTCCGATATTTTGCGAATTGGCACGGACACGGACACACTCGCCCCATTACCGCGCCACTGCAAATTCCATGATACAAACACTCGCGCATACAGGAACAACACTAAAACAAAAAGCAATTGGCATGCAAACAATTGGGTTAAGGTATTAGGTTTGGCTTCCAAATATAGCCGCCGCTTATCGTCCATAAATTGCAATTCTATTATCACTTAAGCTGGCCGAAAACAATCGCAAAGCAAACTTTAATCAAAGCTGATTAAGTGTGTATAGATTTTTAATTGTGTTCCAACATTTCTGCTCGACAACTCATCCAGATAGGAGATAGATGGGCGCTGTTTTTCTCACCTTTGGAATGTTGGCTGGCTGTTCAATTTTCATGGAAACCAATTAACTTTATAATTGTCTGCTCAAATTATAGAATAAATAAAATAACTCAACAATGGATTGAATGATGACAAATACTACTCATGGCAGTCAATGCGAACGACTGTGTGGCGTGGGTTTGTTCTTAATAACATAACGCGGTGTTCTCAGAGGCCCAACCTTAAGTCAATAACCAATTGCTATCTGCTCATCCAGTTTCAATTAAAAAAGTATCAGCATTTTAGGGCACTCGCAGCCCTCTATCAATGGCAGGGCAGGTCACATAAATGACGCAAATAAAAACAAGAATTCAATCAGATTGCATTAAAGAAATTGCTTGGAATATTATGTGAGCATAGCAAATGAGAATTAACATTGAACGATCGCCTGATTGATGGCAAAGACAAATTACAAATGTGTTTGTGTGTGTTTCTGTCTGATACCTGATGTGGGGGCATGGTCAACGAGTTTTAGCCCATTTTTGGGCCTGACTGACGAATGTTCGTGACCGCAATGTGCCATATAAGAGAGCTGAGCCGCAGAGCAAACAGAATCCACTGATTCTCAAGTCCATTCTCTCTAGGGGAGTGGGGCTTAATGCCTGCTCGTAACAGCTCTCAAGTGTTGTTCACTCCGCTGGTGCTGCTGCTGGTGTTGTGCTTAAATATTTACCTCAATTTTACGACTTGTTGCCAATTAAATATACATACGTAGGTATGTGTTTTTTTTTTCTTGCTTTACGTTGTTTGCACAAATGCAGCTGATAAAATTTGTGATAAGAGAACCCCAATTATTCGCAGGCTATCTTTGGGATATTAAAAGATATATCTGCCCATTTGCATGTATGGATAGACATACGCATTGGATACATGTGTAAATATGTCATGTTAATGGCAAACCAGACGGACAGACAGACAGACAAATTAGGCGTCAAGTCAAATGCAACGGAAGTGCAGCCAACGAAGCTGTCAGCTAAGGCCCATCTAATGTCCACACTTAATCCATACTAAGTGACTAGCTGTGACTCTGGTTGTCTGACAATTGTCCATGGCCATAGCCATTGCCATTTCCATTTCCGTCTCTGGATTGGGGGAGATTTTTGCATTAATTATAGTACGTTTGGCCAAGTTGTCAGAGCTAAGCAAAGAGTCTTCTCCGTGTCTTTCAGCCCCGCCAGTCATTACCCGTTGGAACGTTGAGCGCAGAGGATGGGAAAATTCGAGTACTCGCTGGGCCTCAATGAGCTCAAGTCAAAGGAGCTGCGTCTGTGGCAGGCCCTGATCGGGGAGTTCCTGGGCACCCTCATCCTCAACTTCTTCGCCTGCGGCGCCTGCACCCAAGTGGAGGATGGCACCTTCAAGGCATTGGCCTTTGGTCTTTCCATCTTCATGGCCATCACGGTGAGTGCTGTAGGATAGATTTAATTTAATTAATATTTATTGTTTTCACCTTTCAGATTGTGGGCCACCTGAGCGGTGGACATGTGAATCCTGCCGTAACTGTGGGCATGCTGGTGGCAGGACGCATCAGTTTCCTGCGCGCCCTGTTCTACATTGTCTTCCAGTGTCTGGGCGCCATTGCGGGAACAGCGGCTGTCCGGGTGAGTACAAGGCAGCCCATCGAGGGTTAATCCAAGCGATTTATGAAGTTTAAGTAAGCGAAGGAATGCTTGTGTTTGTATTTGTTTTGTAAGTTATCTTTTGGGGAGCTTTTGATTAGCCGACTTCCGTCTGTGGTTTCGTATTTCGACAATTGCTTTTTCGTTTCGTTGAGTTAATGAGTGGGGGGTCTGGTCTCAATGTTGAGAGTTTATGATGTCATGACGATAACGAGACTTCAAGTGGATCATTTTTGTACCCACAAGGGCAACAAAAGCATACATTATAGATACATATGTACATACATATGTATACTCATATTTGTATCCTTTTCTCCCCAAAAAACAACACACAGATCCTCATCGATACGGACTACTACAATGGCCTGGGGCACACGAGTCTGGCGCTGAATATCACTGAGCTGCAGGGTCTGGGCATTGAGTTCTTCCTGGGACTGCTGCTGGTGCTCACCGTGTTTGGCGCCTGCGATCCCCACAAGCCGGACTCCCGTTATACGGCGCCACTGGCCATTGGCATGGCCGTGACCCTGGGACATCTGGGCACCATCCGCTACACGGGAGCCAGCATGAATCCGGCACGAACGGTGGGCACAGCCTTTGCCACGGACAACTGGAGCTCCCACTGGGTGTATTGGGCTGGACCAATGCTGGGAGGCGTGGCCGCTGCCCTGCTCTACACACAGGTGCTGGAGGCGAAGCCGCTACCGAAGACGGCGGAGGCGGCCGATAAGTATCGCACGCATGCCGATGAACGTGAGGTGAGAGTCAGATTGATAGGCGCCTGGAGCGAAGATTACTTCTATTGAAGTGCTCACACACACTCCCACACACACACACACACACACTCACCCACTCATACACATACACATTGTAAATACGAAATTTATTTTTGGAGTTTTAACCACCTGCGACTAATTCAATCGACAATTTATCTTGCATTTCTTCTCCACACAGCTGCGCAAGCTGGAGGGTACACGGGATTATGCTTAAGGACTAAAAGGATCTTAAGCTCCGGCAGTTGGCCACCACCAGAAAGAGAAATCGGGAAGCCAGAATATCGTGCCAGAGAGAGAGAGAGAGAGAGAGAGTGGAACAAGAAGCGGACAGAACGAAACAGATTTTTGATGTTTTGTACATGTCCCCCCCCACCTCCTCCCTGTACACTGTACTCATTCATTTCAGTGTCTAATTCTATCATAATATTTTCTGTGTTCTTGTACTTCTCGTTCGTGTCTGTCTATTTATGTATTTATTTATGCAAAGTTCATTTTATATCTAACTAATACTTACACTTCTACTGATACTTATACTTGTATTATACTCTTAAGCAGTGCTAAAAAGAAATGCAACCAGCCAGCCACAAAGTAGTAAATGTATTCTCATGAGTTCGCAATAAAATTGAAACAAATATTGGAACTAATTAATGAATTTTGTTGTTAATCAATTAGAAGATTTATTCATGGATATACTGTTTGATTTATGCTCTATTAAGGTACTCAATGACATCTTGACATCTTTCTTCTAAGATAAAATCTTTATTGCTGCTTCTATGCTTTCATTCAAACTTTGGCGCCCTCAAAAGTTTATGCTAAAAGCTCGCCAGCGATACAATTTCCAACACTGGACGTGCGTCCAAAGAGTCATGCGCCAAAAGTGTCAAAAGGCGTAAAGGGGAAAATCGGAAAATCGGAAAATCCACAGCACGGCCTCCTGCTCAGTCGTCGTTGTCGCTGTCATTGCCGTTGCGTGTTGCCTGCCCACTAAAAGAATTAACAAGTAAAAACGTGAAAAACGTGCAAAATTACCAAACCAAAAATCGTCGAATCAATTGAAAAATTAAGCAGAATAATGAATCCAACAATTTGCAAGCCAATTAAGTGAATTTGAAACAAATTTAAAGAGAAATCAGCCCAAACACAGGCACAGCCGTAAAGTGCTGTGTGAGCCAAATCAATACAAAATTCAATGCGAGGCTTGGCCCGAAAGGAAAAATGTAAATTATAAATTAAAGAAAAAGGAAAAGCGACCGCTTGCAAATTGGATTTTCCAAGCCGCATTCCGACGTTGATGCGAATCGATGCAAAACTTATTATGAAACGAGAACTAAGCGACAACTGAAAAGGGGAAAACCAAGTGGCAAGTGGAAAGTGTGGCAAGTGGCAAGTGGGGAGAGTGTGGGAGCGAGGGCGAGTGCTGTGCTGTGCTGCAGCACCGTGTAAACATCATCAAAAATCAATACTCGAGCGTGACTCGGCCAGGAGGAGGCCTATGCCCATGCCAGGAAGTGTCCCCAACAAAATGCGACTATAATTCAGTTAGGAGCCACGGAAACAAGGCAAGTAATTAAAGCCACAACTACTCGCATGGCAGGGGCCAAGGGTAGCCGTAACCATGCCACCAGATACAACCCCCTAAGCCAGAGAGTGCCCCGCGAATCCCCTTTTAATGCCCGCATATGAACATCTATGCAATTAACTCGTTACTTAGCCATTAATATGTGATAAATGGCCCCTGAAATGTGATCAACGGCACTGCAAGACACTTGTTGAACGGCAGGAGGACAGTGAACCGCACTCTGACCCACTTACAGGCCTCGGGCTGCAGTGCTTTCTGTCTGCGGATGTGTGTGAAGGATGTGGATGTGGTGGATGTGGATGTTGGATGTGGATGTGCATGTGCATGTAGATGTTCTTGTCGATGGGGGATGGCAATATCGATGGGGTGGCAATGGGTATGGTGGGCACTGCAGTGGAGTCAATATTGGCGGCAAATTGTGCTAAATTTAGCGATGCCAAGACAAAACCTTAACCTGAAAACAAAATATCAAAGAGATGGTGCGACATTTTTTGTGCTTTTTACCCATTGCTTTATGGGGTAGATAGATGGGTTTAGTTTTAGGAGTGCGCAGTGACATATAAATGGAAATATATCTCCATGTTATTTTTGTGAATATTCGTAAGATAAACCAAAATGTAGGAACAAGACTGGAAGTTCAATGCCAGGGTATCTGTCAGTCGCTCCGGCATAGTTGTCACTCCTCTCGCTTTGAGCGTTTTCTAAACAGTGACACACAAATAAATATAAATAGTTTTTTGTGTGCCCGCTACATTTATCTCATCTCCCCCACTCGGCCGAGTCTGTCTGTTTTTCTGATAAAATTTTGACGCTTTGCCAAAGTTCAATGCAAAAAAAAAAAAAAAATGCCACTATAAATTCAAACAATATGTGATAAATGCACATCGAATAGTGTAACATATTTGTGAATTGAAATATTTGATAAGCAAAAAAGACTGCTGGGCAAAGGGCAAAGGAAAGGCAGCAGCAGCCACGACTTGAGTTGACTTCCCTTTGCACAAGACACGACCCCAGACCCATTGGGTTGACCTAGAACACTTATTAGAGGTTATGTGCCGCTATTTATAGATGGGTGTTTTTGATCCACTTCCATCTATACAATCTATATATACCCCAGTATCTGCCCATATTTATATTGTCATATTGACGTACGCATGTGATGGCGATGGGTGGGGGAGGAGAACTTAAAGTGTCAAAATAAATTTAGAACCAAAACATAATTCATTTTCAGTATACTCCCCCTCCGTTGACGCTCGCACATGTGGTCCATAAAGTGGTGGCGGGGGGAGGGCCATAAAATGCAGGCAACCAGAGGATGGATGGTTCCCAAAAGCGCGGAAAGTGTTAATTTTTGTGTGACAAATTCTCAGCTGGAATTGGGGATATCTCCTGCAGCTGTAAATAAGTGGGGTGGACTATAGTTAGAGTAAAAATGTTTATTTATGATTTATTATGGAATAAACTCAATATTGTTATGCAGTGTAGAATGATTCCACTTAGTTGGTTAACCTAATTCCCTTCATTTTAGTGACGGGCATCAAAATGCTTAGAAGCAAGAGCCGCCGGACCTGAGGGGAAGTGCACATTGCAGACACTGGACTGTCGAAGACATCTAGATCATTCGCATTTCCACGCAAGTTTTGACATCACCATAAACTCCCGACACAATCACTATAATCTGTTCTAGCCCACAGGGAAGTGAGTTAAGGAGTAGCCGACGCGCCAGGACACTTAAGATGTGGACAGAAAAGGGAAATGCAGTCGGCAACTGGTTGTTGGCTTTCACAGGTAAACCCTTCACGCATCCAATCAGTCCAATAACATTGAAACACAGACATAAAGAGGAGGGGCGTAGCCATAAGATTATGTTTGAACAAAGATCAACAGCGAATCGAGTGATAAACGGAAGCAGGGAGAAACCAACCAACAGCACATAAGAGACATGCGAGTCATCTAATTTAAATACGCACTCAGATCAAAGAACTGACTAGGGATTACTAGGGCAGGGCAGGGCATGAATTACCAGATACATTATTCATACAACAAAGTTGAAGACAAGCGCAGAGACACAGATGAGATTAGGTCTCGCATTTAAATATAACTTGTTGGGTATTCTTTCGCCATCTTCATACCATACCGAATATCGTATCGCCTGCCTACCAAGTGCGAAACGATGGACCGATTCGAAAGTGTTTATATTGGGGAGCTTAGATGATTGATTTGCATTTTGTTGTTGTTTTTTTTTTGTCTAGCTGGTAGACAGACCATTAATAATTCAATTACTTTCGATCAAAAGCATTTTTACATTTTTCTTTTATTTTTCTTCATTTTTTCATCTGTATCGAAAAATAAAAAAATCAAGTTTTTTTGGCATTGGCTAAATTTGCTACAACCGATAATTGTTTTCCAAGTAAGTTTCAGTTTGATATCGAACTGGTTTCATTTTGCATATAATTTCCCCCCACCCCAGCCATCCCAACCCATTTTCTTTTCGATATTAACAAAATTCCCTTATGTTATTTTTTTTATATTAAAACTAAAAAATGAAAATCCTCTGTAAAAAGAAAGTCAATCAAAAAATCAAAAAATTGTTGCGTTCCATTTGGGTTTGGTAATGGTTTTGTTTTTGGTTTCGTACGTGCCGTTGAATGTAAATGCCGTTCTATCGATTATAAGAAGCTGTCTGTACTCTCTTTACACTCTATACCCCACATATAAGCCCCGTATATACCTACAATATAATTATACATATACATATATGCATATTCCTGGTCACATCCAAAAACACGACACGACACGTATCGTATGCCTCTTGAGTTGCAGTGAAGTCCCCCCCACCCACCGTAATTTGTAAATTGTAATCTCTTCTTGTGTGCCTTTTACAACACTGTCTTTGTCGAGTTGGTTTTGGGGAACGAAAAAATTGTAAAGTTGTTAGCATTTCACCCAACTCTGCTATATACTCGTACACCCCACACAATCAATTCCCCTCCCCCCCAGCCAGTCGAAGGCAGCCCAAAGGCAGGAGGCCAGGATCCGACTGTACCTGCCTTGGGTGTACTTCGCGAGCCCAATTTTAACCACCCCACCCCCCTCTACGTTTGGTTTTAGTTTCACACTCCTTCTACTGCCCTCTTCTACTTTGCTCTCTTCTCTTTCATTGTTTATTTGCAGCCATATTCGGATTTCTAACTCTCATATGGATTCCGCAGGCCTCAGCCGAATGCCAAAGTATGAGTCCATTTGCCTTTCCAAAACAGAAACAATTTGCTTAAAAACAATCACTTACCTTTTTGCCAAAAAAAAAAATACAATAAAAAAAAAACAACAAAGAATTTAAGACATACTAAGAGTCCATGCATAAGTATATGTATATTCAATCTTTAACGAAACTCAAATCGGTTCATGAATAAGGAATATTTATGTACTAGTATCAATTTTATTTAAGATCGTTTTCGTTTTCCTATCCAAAGTTCCGATCGATTGATCGATCGATTACATTGCTTTCTACAAAGCATTGCCAGCCATCGCTGGGCTACCAACTCTTTCTCCCTCCTCACTTTACTTTCTTTTGCACTGTTCTCTCTTTAGTTTTACTCTGTTTTTTTCTACCTATCGATCTGAATCGCATTCCCAAGTGCAATCCCACTACTTTACTATTTATGGAGGCCGTGCGATATATGTAGAACTTCAAGTCACTTGTATGGTTCGAATGATGAGCATTAAAGCAAACTCTAGCCAAATAATTGAAATCGATTGATGGAGCTTCAATTGCGAATTATTTAATGGGAGCTCACTTACAATTTGTCTTGAAGTTCTGACAAAAAATGTACCTTAGATTATCTCTTTTATCCTACGTATTTTTTTGTGGGTGTGTGTCTTGTCTTGTCTTGTAAGTGTGCGTGTGTGTGTGCATGCCTTAGAATAACACACATAATAACCCAAAAGAGCGTCCTGTAATCCAATACAAAACAGATTTCTATCACTTTCTCGCTCTTGGCACGTTGTAGTTTACAGTTGTTTCTTATGATTTGTACAACATTTTGAAATACGACTTTGACTTTATACAAACAACAATTTCCATACCACAAAAACCCCCCATTTTAGTTGGAACACTTGAAAATGTTTTTGCATAAATGTTTCTTGCCTGCTTTTGAGAACTTTTTTGGCATGCTTTGGCGTTACTGTACATAAAAAAAAAAAACAAATCTAACCTCAAACTAGTGCAGCGACTTACCAAGAAGATCAGCTTATGTTGAACTGGATATTAATGGATCTCTTTTCATCTAGCGCGATCGATTTACTGCTACGAATGCGATTCTTGGACAGATGCCCGCTGTAAGGTGAGTCGAACGAGCACGAAAATAATTAAACTAAAGATCTAAATAAATAAACTATCTTTGAAAACTCCTTAGGATCCGTTTAATTATACGGCTCTTCCGAGGGACCAGCCACCCCTGATGACCTGCAACGGTTGCTGTGTGAAAATGGTTCGCCATCAGAGATCACGTGAGTACAGTACCCCCCCTCCAAAGCAAGCCAACACAAACCTGTACCTCAACCTGTACACTCCTGCCCGTAACTGTGCCTGTTACTGTAACTGTATCTGTACCGAAGCAACTCTGATTTCTAACTAATTGATTAACATCGTTCTCTGTGTGCGTGTCCCCTCCATGTCTTTGTCTCTCTCTCTCTCTCTGTCTCTTTTGCAGCCTACGAGGTGGTGCGCCGCATGTGTACGTCACAGTTACAGATCAATTTATTCATGGTCGATCACGTGTGCATGATGGAAAGTTCAGGCAATGGACATATGTGCTTTTGTGAGGAAGATATGTGCAATTCTAGTAAAGATTTATACACTCATGGCCACCAGTTGCATCTCATAATTACCATCGCAGTGGCAGTGTCCTGGCTAATGGGTCAATTGCTCAACAGATAGAAAGTGCTGTTAGGTTCAGACCCATAGATACATACTCACTCACACACACGCCACACGCCACACACCACACACACATAAAACTGTCAAATCTCTCGCTCTCCGTCTCTATCTATCTCTCTGTAAACATATTGATTTGTAGCTTGAATTTCATTTTGTACGTTTGAAGCACAGTTTTCGATGATCTGATCTGAAGCCGAAACGAGCATTGAATTGAGTAGTTTGAATACATAAAACTTAGTTCGATAAGCACCATTAGATAGCTCAAGTAGCCCAATGCTTCCACAGACAGAGGCTTCCTTTTTTTGTACTCTAACACACTTGAACACACACTAACACACTTAACACCTTGAACACACGTACACGGTAAGCGAGCTTTGGATGCACTCGGCGTTCGTAAGAGACGCGACGAGTAGATTCGAACGAGTGTTTCGAATTCAGGAGTCACAGTACGAGTACTCCGTATTTGAATTGCATGTGTTGTTGATGCTAAAGCAAGCCTGAAGCATGTAGCGCTTAAGTAGGAATTGTAGTTACATTTTGTTTTCGTTGTTACTTACATTTGTAAATGCCCCCCCCCCGCCCCCAAGAAGAGGGATAAACCAAAACCAAGCCCCAAATCGATTCACACATAAATATGTATGTATGTTATGTACATAAACATTCAATTATATCATATGTATGTAAACTTGGAATAACTCGCCAACTCTTGGTTTGTAAATACCTCCAAATCCAACTACAGCAGTGTTCATCCAACACGAATCTGACGTTAAAGGAAATGGAATATTTGCTCATCCTGTTTATTCCAAAGTCAAAGGAGAGAACTTCATGTTGCATTACATTAAGCATTAGTCATATCACGTAGCCCAAACCAAAATGGGTATCGAGTCTTTGGATATATCGATCTTAGTGGAGTCGCATCATTACCTCCCACCTCCCCCCCCCCCCCACCCCCTCAAACTGTATAAAAAATCAGTCGTCACGTCGCCCGTGCTCCCTTTGGTTTGTATTCAACAAGTGATAATTAGTTAGTAAGTAGAAGACTCCACTCCACATACCCCTAGCCCTAGCCCCATCCCCAAAACACATTATGAATTTGAAAGTGACTCAATTCTCATTGTTATGCTAGTGATAGACTTAAACGAATCGAATTATATAGCTTATGTTTTGAGTTTTTGGATAATGAATTAATATTATTACGTATAGTAATGGTTAACCTATCGAGCACCACTCGATGTATTCGACTCGAGATTTTGTACTGTACTAAGCGCATTTGAATCGTTTTTCATTTGTACTCGTATTATTGAGAATTGGCTAAATAAATAACAAACATTTTTACCATAGCATAACATCTCTAGCTAAATTTACTCTTAACCTTTCAACATTTTAGCTTAGATCCGTTTATTATCTTCAAGTTCTCTTACCCACTCTCTCTCTTTCTCACTCTTGCACTGCTCCCTCACGCATTTGTACAATATAATATTAATCTTCGTACTGGCTTTGGTTGATTTAATTGAAACTTGCTTAAAGAAATTTGCCAACAAGTGCAAGAGACATTTTTCCATCCGTCCAGCTGTGGAGCATGTTCCGTTCTCAGTACTGCAGTGCTTTCTGGGCCCGCAAGGTAAGTCACCAGAAAAGTACAGTTGCACACCGTTTGCCTTAGTTCGCTCCTGACTACTCTCTCTCTCTATTAGTCTCGCTCGCTCGCTCTAGCTGGGAGTCAGAGTCGGCCGCCTATCTTGGTGCTACACACACACTCCTCTCTCTCTAACTATCTATCTATCTATCCCTTTATATCCTTATATCCATCCCACACTTGGCAAATATTATGCAATGATCTAACACCATTAGATTTGAGTTCGATTTAACGTTTCATTTGTTGTATAGTTTATAGTTATGCTTTCGTTGCTTACGTTGGATTGTTCGATGACAAATACATATACATATGCAACTTATCTATAATATCCACACACACACATATGTATATCTAACCGATTTTGGTTTGTGAATGTTGACAATATTCTTGTAACCAGTATTTGATTGAATGATTGATTGACGGTTAATGCGTTTTCAAGTTTATTAACCATACCAAAAAACAAAAACTAAAACATAAACATAAAAAAATACTATCGAAGCAGGCAATGAAATCGAAATGAAATGAATTTGCAAGCACACCGCATATGGATTTTGTAGTGCAAAAAGAGATATTTTTTTTTTAATTTAGTACTTTTTGTAGTTCCAACATCTAACGCCCACTTTCTGCGCCCACATTCTCTCTCTCTCTGTCTCTTTCTATAATTCTCTTATGTATCTCTGTAAATCTTTCTATCTGTTTAACTAACTCTGTAACTCACTCTACTAATCTTATGACTCTTTTTACTAACATTCTTTAAAACCGAAACATAGAATTCCTCTTCTAGAGACACACACACACACACACACCCGTAGCATATAAAACAGCAACAAACGATAAACGATAACACCCAACCCAACCCAACCCAAGCCAACACTTTGAATAGAATATACACAGATATATGCACTCGTCACTGGGATCATTGCAAGGTAACGATTAGTCACAAGTGCATATACCCGGACATACACAGAAAGTATACAAAGATACATACTATATAAAACAGATAATACTACTGAATCATTAGCCCCAAACACTTAGTTCAAAGATCATAAATAACAAACATAAATTTTTACTACATGTAGGCGCGAAAAGATATTAAAACTTGCTCTGCATTTGAATATACATATATGTAGAATATCTGCCGTTGAAAGACCCGAATATTGTGGGCCAAGTTTCCAATCCATAGATTCCTCACAATACAAAAAGCACTAAATTAATATCATAGACTTTACCAATATAGCCGCCAAAGCGCTATCTAACTTAACATTGGTATTGGTTGTTGAATATTGCAAAGAAAAACCAAAAACTAATAATATCAAGAAAAGAAAAGGAAAGCCAAAGAAGAGTGACCAAAGAATCAAAACAAAAGCAAAACCAACTCGAGAACAATCAGCCTTCGCCTTAATTTTGTTCAGTTTACTTATTTGTTTCACCTTAAATATCTCATTTTCCCGATACATAATACATTTATCGCCTTGAATAGCAGATACTGCCTTTTCCTTCAAGTTCCAACACACTTTACGCTTTAATTTCTATTGATTTCACCTCAACTCACCACGAATCCATCTTCTTCTATTTCCCCACCACCTCACTCAACTGTCACCTGCCACCCACTCTCACCCACTATTACTCTCTCTCTGAATGTCTGTCAATCAGTCAGTCAAGTCACCAAGCCCCCCGGCCAAACCGCTCGCGCTCAGCTGCCATGGAACTCAAGCTGACATAGCACCCACATATGTTCCACCACTCCACTTCCACCATCCCATCGAACAGCAGAGTCTCGTCAGGTGACGGCGCGCAGGCGCTGCAGTCTGCGACAGAGCTTACTCTTCTACCACTAGAGGACTGCTCTCTCGGAGCTGGAGGGTTCGCCTGCCCGTCCGTTTTATGGTGCTTTTTCACATACGACACCACTGTCTGACTTAAGTTTTTTCATCATGTACGCCATCGCAACCATTGACAGTGGTCGCAATGCTGCGACAGCCGCTCCACACTTGCCGCAGTGGGCATGTGTGGGCGGCATGCGCGCTTTATTGCCGAGCATCTGTTTACAGTTGGCCAGCCCTTTGGCCTGTGTGCGCGTAATGCTAGCCGCATTCGAAATGCACTTGGCCACAAGCGGCAGAGCCGCAACATGTAATTGTGAACGTCTGTGCGGTGCGGCATAGCATGACATGCTTCGATCGGGCCACGACACGACCGCTGGCGCCACAAAACCGCTGGAGGATCAGCGCGGGACCCCGAATCGTGAGCAGACGGCGGAACAGAAACGGAACAGACAGCTTTGGGGGCTTCCAATGCTTTGGCTTGAACAACACCCAAAAACCCAAAGCTTTCTTTTATCTACGCCTCAACTCAATATATAGCCATTAAATATTTACTCAACCTAGCTCAACGGTGCTTCCAGTTCGCTTTCGTTAACCAGTCAATGGCTTGCCAAGGCAAAGAGGAGCGAACAGAACATTTCTCGGTTAAAGTATTGAGCATTCTGAATGTAAATCGTATTAATTATCCGCTATAGCTTAAAAATACTCGTATTTAAATGCATACTCGCAAGAAATTGTTAAAGATCCATTTTAAATTTTAATATTATGTGTTATAGGGATAAAAATCTATGAGCACCGTACCAAAATATCTCAATCTCAACAATTGTATCTAGCCAATAAAGATATTTCAAGTAAACATTAAATCGATATAAAGCTAAAATCGCGCATATTAAGATTATTTTGCAGCCAGAGCATTGTACAAGATTAAAATAAAGATGAATGTATTTAAACGAAACCGAATTTTTGGATATATTTCTTCAATTCAAATTCAAAATGTAACGGACAGAAAAATGCGTTTATTTGTCGCGCAGCATGTTGCACAACATTATTTCCAGAGAATAATATCGATATCGGTCATACACACACACAAACAATATACAATACGGTCTCTACACCTTGTTATTGTTTATTTATTTTGTATTTTGATTATATACATTTTAAGATCGATTCAGAGATGACAAAACATCATGGATGAAGTTTGTAAAATATGAATACGCGAAACTAAAAAATCGGTTTTGTAACAAAATATCGATATATTGTAATCAAACGTTTTACAGCACCAGTGGGAGGGTAAAGATGCGACTAAACAATTTATTTAAACAAATTCAGCAGCTGCCAATGATCCCAATGCATGCATTATTTTCCTGCCAAAATTCTACAGGTACCAGCGAAAACCGCATTCGATTTCATCAAATAGATCAGGAATTGAACGAGCCAAAATAATTTCGTCAGTATTTTGGACGATTGCACGACTCCGAAAATTTCATTTGTGATGGCCGCCCATTAAGTAAAAACGTGTCCCGCTGCTGAAGACAATTTCGGTCGTTTTTACCAGCAAAACTTATTGAATATTGCTGAAATTTTGGCAGTTGCTCCAGCAACGTACCGAGTGGTATGTAACGGTGGTGTGGTCGTGTAATAATTAAATAAAATGTAAAAAATGTGTGTGAAAAAATTTAATCGATTTTTTGTTTGTGAAAAAAATCATGGAGTAGTAGTGCCTAAGAAGCTCGCCAGAGGGAGCCAACACACGATTCGGAGTAAATTCGGTCTTCCGCGCCGCTCAAACTGCCGCCGAACGGCGATATACCGATAGTTATTCTATCGGCAAAACAGTGATGTTTATATGTGCCGCACAATGAAAAAAATTATTAACTACTATATAAAATTAAATTAAAATATTAGCCCAATCTCTGGGGTGTTATACTGTGTTAAAATGGCAACAAAAATTGAGGAACTGCGGACTAGCCGCTCCGAATGACTTCTGCCGCCGTTATTTAAAATTCGCGGCCTGTGAGTCCGCAGCGTCGTCAGTCTTCGGCTCTCTGGCCGCCATTATTGCTTTCCAGCAAAACCACGCTACGCAAAATCTAGAAATTTGTGTAAATTTTTCAAGCGAATTATCAACAAAATTTCGCTTGCAGGTGTGTGAAAAGTGCGGTAAACGATGTTAAAAATTCATTAAAGTGCCTGGAAATATACACACCCAGCGGTGGCTCACTAATTTGGCCAATAATTGCAAAAAACAAATCTCACATGAGGAAGAGTTGCCTACATTTTTTTCTTCTTTTTCGTCGTGTTTTGCGCTTCGTATTTCTTTCTGCTTCGTGCAATTCGCCGCGTTTGTTTGCGGTTGTCGCCGCGTGTGTGTTTGTTTATGCCGCCTTTTTTTTGTACGCGGCTTTCTATGATTTTGCATTTTTCGCATTTGCGACAAAAAAAAGAGGAATCAAGCTAAGAATGAAATGATTCATAGTATGAAACAAAGGCGAATGTGAATTTAAAGCGAAACAGGCATAATCGTCTCAGTGTGTTGTGTGCGTTTATTTAGATTATTTTTCCCGCGCGCGCTCACACACACGCCCACGTACACACGTTTCTACTATGCGTTCATTGTTATTGTGTGTGTGTTAGTTGTTTACTTACTAGTTTTGTTGTTGTCTTCGTTTCATTTGTAGATTTTTATCATCCAACGATAAGGAAAAGACAAAGAGTGAGAGAGAGAGAGGAGAACAACAAGAAAGCAACAACGAAACGAAGCGGCACACGGCAACAACTGGAAAAGAAAAACAATTTTCAATATAGAAAAATGATGATGAACTGAAATGTGCAATTTTGATGAACGTAATTATGCCAATTCACATACTTTTTTCGATTTCAACGTGAAAAATGTCGTCGACACAATTGCTGCATTCGTTGTCATTGTTGTTGCTACCATTGCGTTGTCGTCGTAATTGCAATCAGCTAATATCTCTGGCCATCTTGCTGCTGTCGGCCCTGTCTGCACGAATCGAGGAGTCCGGACAGCAGGAACAGCAGTCGGAGGAGGCGGAGCAGGAGGCGGCGGCGGCGGCAGAGGCGGAGGAGGAGGTGGACGAGGACGATAACGATACGCCCTATATAGCAACAAAGGTTGCTCTCAAGCGGCGTTCATTGATCATCAACCCAATTCCGATTCCGATCCCAAACCCACATCCACACTCACACCTATACCCACACGCGAATCTACATCCAAATCCACACCAAATCCCAACAAGTGGCAGAACGTTTGCCAAGGGAACGGGCACAGGGGCTGCGTTAACCAGCTGGCACAGCAGCCACAGCCACCGCAGCCCCGGTGCTAAGTCGTCGGAGGAGGCGGAGGAGCAGCTGGCCCGACTGTTTGCCAGCAGAATCATCGTACTGCATCTAGCCTGTTCATCCCTGCTGTTGCATACGCTTGGGACTAGCAGCATATCTCCTCCATCCATAGCCAGGTTGCCAGAGAGAACAACCGCCACACCAATAGCAAAAGCAACAGCAGAAGCAGCAACAACGAAACGCTTAGCAGCAGCAGCGGTAACGCATCGGAGTAAGATCCTCGAGAGCGGCGGCAGTAGCAGTAGCAGCACAAATCCCTTGACGCCGGTGGCCGGAACAGCCGTCAGCAGAAGGGTAGCAGCTCCCGCAGCTGTAGCAGCAGGAGGAGCATCCATAGCAACTTAAGCAGCCAATTCCACTTAACCAACCATAAAACAGATACAAAAACAAAACATAAGAAATATACAAAAACAGCAACAGCTAAAACGTTCCACATACTCCATATACACCACTCACATACAAACAAACAAACAACAGCAAACAAAAAAGTCAAAATGTCGAAGCTATCGTTCAGAGCACGCCATCTGGATCCGTCCAAGCAGATGCCCATCTACTTGGCCGAGGAGCTGCCCGATCTGCCCGAGTATTCAGCCATAAACCGTGCCGTGCCCCAAATGCCCAGCGGCATGGAGAAGGAGGAAGAGTCGGTGAGTAAATTCCCATAGAATGAATATTCGAAGTGAGATTTAATCATTGCTTTCGTGTCTCAATAAAAACAGGAACATCATCTGCAGCGGGCAATCTGCACGGGCCTCATCATCCCCACACCCGAGGTACTGCAGACGGACCAGCCCTTCTACGACACCTACTATCCGCCGGACTACAAGATGCCCCGCCAAATGATTCACATGCAACGTGTGTTCATTCAATTTCCCATATTCTTTCCAATACTAAACGTAATCCACTTGAACAGCTCTTGGCCTGGACACTGAGGTGCCCGACTACGATATGGACAAAGCGGACATGGAATGGCTGAACCAGCAGGAGCGCCTGGAGCTGACGGAGCTGAAGTTTGAACAATTGATGGATTTGCTGGAGAAGAGCTCGGGTCAAACGGTCGTCACACTCAACGAGGCCAAGTCTCTGCTCAATCAGGATGACGAGACGAGTATATCCCTCTACGATTACTGGCTCAACAAGCGCCTCAAGATGGTAGGCATTCGATTTGTTTTGCATGGTGGGACACCCGTAGATAATTCCCACTTTTTGATTCATCCTTTGCAGCAACATCCGCTGATACTTACTGTGAAGACAGAGAGTCGTCCTGGTGCCAGCTCCAATAATCCGTATTTGGCCTTTCGTCGGCGCACTGAGAAAATGCAAACGCGCAAGAATCGCAAGAACGATGAGGCCTCCTACGAGAAGATGCTCAAGCTGCGGTAAGAATTGAGGGGAATCTCACACATAAAGTCGGTTGCATAATTTCGGTGTAAATAATGCTGGCAAATTGACTGCCCTCTGATGCTAGAAAACATCATCATAGATTGTACCAATTGGCCAGCATATAGCGAGATATATTTCCATTTATTGTATTAATTAATTAATTACTGTTTTCCATATCAAAACAGACGCGACCTGCAGCGCGCCACAACTATACTGGAGATGGTGCGGCGACGCGAGGAGACGAAGCGCGAACAACTCAAGACGACGGTGAATATCTTTGAGAAGCGCGTCGAGATGCGCGACTTCAATGGTGCTGTCTACTCCGAGCTGAATGCTCAATACAAGAGCACGAGGTGAGCTCCCAACAAGAGAAACTGCCAGTTATCCAATGTATACTGATCCGGTCGCTTTTTTGTTTCGTTTACAGACCCGCGTATAATTCAGTGTATGCGAATCAATACTCACAAGGGGCGCCGGCCGCGGTTGGAACAGCGGGCGCCATTCTGGCTTCCCTGCCCCCGGGTCTGCTGTCAAGTGGAGGAGCAGCGGGCAATACGAATGTGTATGCCTCGCCGTCTCAGTACCTGAACACGTCGACAATGGGTAAGGCAAAAGGATGAAAGCATTTTACTCTAGACTAGTAACTAATTCACATTCCATTGTTTCGTTTTTAGACACCATCCACTCGGGCAGCGGCAACGGCAACGGCAGCAGCAGTCGCAAGGAGAAGCGTCCGTACAGGAAGCGCAAACACAAACTTCCCCGCGACAAGCAGCAGAATCAGCACCAGCAACTGCAACAGCAACAACAGCAGCAGCAGCAAACTCAACAGTATTTGCCAGGGCAGTCGTCGGGATCTGGAGCATCGCCTGCCCACCATTTGCCACATCATCTGCATAACAGGCAGCAGAGTGCCTCGCCGGCGGCAAACGATTCGATTCTGGACAGCGAGGAGGACGACTATCTAAATGGTGGCCTCAATGGCAACCAGCTGGGCTCCGAGAGCGAGGATGAGGCACCGTTTGCATTTCGACGGAAGCCAAGCTGTATTTACCTGCCCGTAAGTGTCTCTGAACATTCCCCCGTACATTACAAAAATTATATTAATGCTGGTGTTGTATTTCCAGACACGGCATCGAAATGGACGCTGGCCCTATGATTCGGCAGATGAGGAGACGGAAACGAGCAGATCGGGACCATATTCGGATCCCAAATATCGCTACACGCTGACCTCCATCAACTATCCCAGGTTTGTTGTGTTGTTGGTGTTTGCTCTTTTGCCTTTGCCCTTTGCCACGTACTCAAGCATAAATCGGGCTAATCTTGCAGGCCGCGTTGCATTGGCTTTGCCCGCCGTCGTGTGGGCCGTGGCGGAAGGATACTGCTCGATCGGGCCATAACGAACTTTGACGATGTCTGGTCGCAGTTGGATTACACGGTCATGGAGAGTGTCGTAAAGAGCAACAACGCCCAAAGGAGAAACAACCAACTGAAGCCGGACCTGCTGCCGGTGGCCAAACCCTGCTCCCCGCCCACTGTTGTTGATCTTGTTGTTGCGCCCGCATCCAAACCCATGGACACCGATGAGACGTCGTCGTTGCCGCTCGACATTGTCAAATCGGAGCCCACCAGTCATCAGGCGGATAAACCCATCGCCAGCACCGGGTCGTTGGGTGATTTAATGCTACCCCTGCCTCAGGACAAAGATTTGGACGAGGTGCTGGAGCTCGAGCCCGATGGGGAGGAAGATGACCTGGCCACCGATGACGAGAATGTCTCGCGGCTGAGTTTCTACAGTTCGGCAGTGACGTTGTCCCAGAACTCGCACGACATGCGCCTAAAACGGCGTCGCCTGCGCCACAAGAAACAGCAGATGCGGGAGCTCAATGCGGCCAAGCGACTGAAGAGGTCGTCGGAGGCAGCAACTGGAGGACAAGCAGCAGAAGCAGCTGGGGAGGAAGATTCTCTCGCTGCCTCGCTGGGTCCTTTGCCCAGGGCGTACCTGCAGCGTCTGGTGCTGGCCTTGGGGCAGAAACTCAAGCAGGAGGTGGAAATGGAAGTATGCGAGAATTTGGCGCCGCAAGAGGAAAAAAGCAGTGCGGCTGAGGAGGTGCAGCAGCCTCCTCCTGCGCGAGCCAATCATCAGCAGCACCACCACCGTTCCAATAACAACAACAACACCGTGTTGAACAACAACAACAGTAGCAGTAGTAGTAGTAGTAATATGAATAAGGATGTTAGCATAAGCGAAAAAATCAATGTGATAAAGCTGGAGGCAGAGGCGAACGATAACGTTGGGCAAGAGCAAGAGCAACCGGTTGCCTCCACCTCAGCGGCGGCGGCAGCAGCACGAGCCGTTGAAGCAGCCGCTGCAGCGGAAGCAGCATCATCGGGAGCAGGAGCATCCATGCTCGGACTTTCAATGGAGGATGCGGCCAAGACGATAAAGCGGGAGCTAATCGATGCCGACGACTCCAACGAGCCGCTGAGCAGCATACGCACCGCAACGGCAGCTGTCACTGTACTCCAGACCACCTCCGATCCCGAACTGATGGACGATGAGGCCGAGGACGATGTCAATCTCGCCCAGCTGAGCAGCATCATCCGCCATACGGCTGTCAAGAAGGAGCTGGAGGCCCAGCAGCAGCAACAGCAACTGCAGCAGCAAGAGCAGAGGGGATGCCCTCAGCAGGAGCTGAAGGAGGAGACCGTCTGCTTGAATCAGCTGCCCGATGTGATTCGGTTGCAGAATCTGCGCAACAGCCAAATGTACTCGAAGCCCAGGGACCTGTATATCGATGCCCCGGCAGAGGAACTAGACGTGAATTACCTGGGCGGACTCTCGCCCACCTCCAGTCAGCGTCTTGACATTTGCAACGAACTCCTCTCCGAAATCAGACGCGACTGGCTGCACTTTCGTCCCAAGACGCCCACGGACGAGCTCTCCGACAGCAACGATGGCGATAGCAAGCTCTGCAGCGGACTTTCTGGTGTCCATGCGGTGGACTGGACCCAGGATACGCCTATCAGCGTGGAGCTGAATCGTCTGGGAAAGCGGGAGGAGATCGAGAGCGACACCAGCACTTATTTCCTGAGCAATGCCTTCAAGTACACGGATCTGGACTCGGATGCCCAGCTCATTCAGACGGCCTACGCCCAGGACTATGCCCGAGGTACCAGCAAGAGTCCGAACTGCTCGGGATCCGGATCGGGATCCGCCCTGGAGTTCAACTTAAGCGCTGGCGATTCGCTCAATGACATCAACAATCTGCTCGGTGACGACGAGGACGACAACCATGAGCACATGCTGGACAACATCCTGCAGGAGTGCGCCATGGACGATCCCAAGGCTCTCAACCAGGCCACCAGCTTCTGGAACGGCATCCTGGACGGCGAGGCGGCTGTAGACGAGGTAGAGATTGCCGATCAGCTACTCGACTGCATCGACGAAAAGAAGCCCAAGGTGGGCGGAGAGTCGTCTAAGCGCGCTGGGCGCACTCGCAAGCCGCGGCCAGCGAATGTCCCTGTGGGGAGCTCGTCGTTTACGGTCTGTCCCACGCAGGAGTCACTCAAGGATCGTGAGGTCTTCTTCAGCCAGGAAGTGGTGACGCCCAAAGAGGAGCCACAGCCAGAAGCAGCTACGGCTCCCGTTTCGGCCACGATGACAACAACGCCAACGGCGACGGCAGACACCCTGGATCCTGTGAAGGTGGAGCCAATGGAGACACCTCAGCCGGAGGTGGCGATACCACCACCAGTCCAGTTACAGCCCACGGCACCGCCACAGCCACTGTTGCAGTCGCAGTCGATGCCACAGCAAATTGTGGCGACTCCCACGCCTCAGCTCATCAATATACCCGCCCAGATAACACCCCAGAAGCCGCAGATGTCGCAAATTCATTCGCAGGTGCAAACGCAGCAGCTGCAGCTCCCCTCACAGACACAGGCGCAGGTTCAAACGACGACCGGGCCTCAGGTGACGCAGTTGCTGAATCAGTTCGCCAATGCCAGTCCGCAGATCATTGCCAGGACGGAATACGGCGGCGGAGCGGCCGTCGGGGACATTGTGACCATCACACCGCACACGGGTAGCAGTCCCCTGCCCACCCTCTCCGCCCAACAGCAGCTGCAGCACCAGTTGGCCCAAGCCCAGCTACGCAATGTGACCGTTCAGCAGCGCCAGGGCACGCCCCAACAGGTGCAGCAGCAGCAGCAGCAACCCACCCAGCAACTGCTCTTCCAGATGCAGCGGGACGGGATCGGCTCGCCGGTAATCACCACACAGAGCATCGTCACCTCCTCGCGCTCCTTGACATCCCTCAACGCAGCCGGCGCTGGCGCCGCTGGCAATCATATGATCTACACCACCGGCAGCGGCGAGATTATCACGGCAGCAACAGCTGCCGCCGCACAGAAGGTCACCTACGCCATACAGAAGACAAGTGGCGGCGGCGGAGGAGCCACCACCACATCGATTGGACCCAATACCGTGATCACTCTGTCCAATGTGAAGCTGCAGAGCGACGATAACTGCTCCGCGGGTGGCGTCGGCTCCAGCTCCGGGTCAAGTGTGAACATCATCAACACGGCCAGTGGCCAGCAGTTGGCCGTGCACAGCATAGCCGGGATGCAGCAACACCAGCAGCAGCAGCAGCAGTGCACCACCACGACGCCTCTAATTGTCACGACGCCCAACCGCAACAATGTCCAGCAGCACTCGCAACAGCAGCTGGTGCAACAGCAGCCGATTGTGTGGCGACAGGTGAGCGGAACAAACACGGCGGTGGCCACCACGGCGGTGCTCTCGACGACAGCGGACACTTCGCCAGCGGCGGTGGGCAACAAGATACTCTGGACGAGTCGGGCCACCCAGAAGCGGCAGCTCAATGGACCCGAGAACACAGGTGAGTCACCATTCCGGTGTGGAACAAATATAACGTACATATTCTCTTTCGTAGGTTATGTGTCGTAGGAGAGGTACGAGCATCTAGTTTTCAAGATTTAGCTGCTTTTTTATAGAGTTGATATCTGAGGATATCGGAGGTATATTTGGAGATCAAAGATAGCCTCACGATTACAAGAATCTTCTTGAATTTTTTGAGTTGCATTGCAGGGAGAGATCTCCCTTATCAACATATACGTTTGGTTTTATTCTGTTCAATTCGGTTCTGTTCCATTGTTTTGGCCACGGATAATTCGAGTTTCATTCGTGCCGATTGTGTCTGTTCGCTTATGGGATATTTTTACAGGGAATATACGTCATTCACAACATTTGACGAATGTATGTGAATACTCCTTTGGCTAATTGAACGTTGGTTGGATTAGCAATCGAACTGCTTCCATAGTTCTACTAAATCACTTTTGTTACTTCTACTTCGATGTTAATTTCTCAGTGGAATTCACTTGCAAGTACTCTCACTCTCCCTGATTCTCTATCTGATATGATAGATTGGATGGCTTAGGTTAGGTTCCATAGGTGATCCGCATCTGAATAAGTTGTTCTGTCAGTGGCTGTGATTTTCGTTTCATTTCTCATATTCCATTACGCTGCAGGACGAGTTTGCATGATTGCTTTGGATGACCTTTGAGTCTGCTCCCACACAAAATGTCATTGATTTGAACGTAAACTAATTATCTTTTGCATTATATTTTCCTTGCAGACATCAACAAGCTGCTGCTGAATCGGAAGTTCTCACAGAGGAAGGTGATTGGCCAGCATCCGGGAGGACAGCAGCTGCAGCAGCAGGCGCAGCAACAGATTCAGCTGACCAAGCAACAGCTGCAACAGTTGGTGCAGCACGAGGATGATCTGGTGACGGCCACGACGACGATCAACAGCGGGGATCAGATGGACACTGGCGAGTCCCTGCAACAGCAGCAACACCACCAGCATCAGCAGCTGCAGAAACTCAGCAAGGTGATCAAGATGTCGCCATTCCCCCTGCTCGTCTCGGATCTCAATCTTCAGCAGCAACCGCAGCAACAGCAGCCTGGCCAGCACACGGGCCAGTCCCAGCAGCAGCAGCAACAGCTGAAGCCCAACTCGGCGGCAGCGATAGCGGCCAACCACAACTACAGCCTGCAGCCGGCCACAGCCATTATCAGCTCGCAGGCGGCGCCCCAGCAGGCCAACAAGATCTTCCTCACCAGCAGCAACAGTGGCGGCGGCGGCAACTTCACCATTGCCACGGCCAGCGAACTGCAGGCGGCAGCTGCGGCGGTGGCGGCCAGCAATGCCGGTGGCCAGAAGCTTCACTATAAGGAGCTCACCAACTCCAATCTCAAGCTGAACTTTGTGAGCAGCACGGGCGAGGCGCTGGCCAGCCAGACGCCCCAGCAGGTGGGCGCGACCACGGTGGTGCTGAACAAAGCCCAGCAGCAGCAGGTACACCACCAGAAGCTCAAGACGGTGGCCGCGGCCAATGCCCAACAGGTGCAGCAGGGCGACAAGCGAGTCCTTTACACCAGCTTGCTCAACGTGAAGCCGCTGCAGAAGAACAACAGCGGCCAGATGCAGATGCAGCTAGGGCCCGGCGGACTGCAGCAGGTGCTGCGCGGCCGCCTCAACAATTCGGCCATCATCACGAGAACCCTGCCCCTGGGCACCACCGTCAACAGCTCGGGCGGTGTCGGAGCCGGCGGAACACCCACCACCATCAGACAACTGGTGACCACCAATGCGAACAATGTGGGCTCCTCGGACGGAGCTCTGCTCAACGCCAAGGATGTGGGCAAGAGCCTCACCGTGGAGCAGGTGATAGCCAGTGCCAACAATGGCGGAGTGGTGATGCCCACAAGCAACAACAATAACAACAATGGTGGTGGATCAGGCGGCGGTGGCGGAGGTGGAAGCGGTGCAGGAGGAGTGAGTGGCGGTGTGACCGTGACGACATCGAGCAATGTTAACGTCCCCGGAGCCGGGGGAGCCGGAGTTACGTCCACCATCAACAGATGAGACGCGGACAGCAGCAGCTAACATCTAATGCCAAATGTTTTCTCCGTCAGTCTGCCCGGCGGCACCTCGCTGGGACTGGGAATGGGTCTGGGTATGGCCCAGGAACAGGCCGAGTTCCTGCTGACGCCGATGAGTGCGGCGCAGAGTCCGTTGATGGTGGCCCTAGGCCAGCTCCTGCAGCCGTCCTGCTGCTGTGCCCTCTGTCTGGTCAATCTGGGCCAGTCGGCGGCGCATCTGGGCTAATGCTACTACTACTACTACAACAACGCCCTATATATACATACTGTAGATTAAATGTAGAATTTCATATGCATACAACCCGCGCACACATACACACACACATGCCAGCCAGCCTTCAAAAATGGATTAGAACGAACCTAAACGATAATCGGATGGAAATTCCAAATTTTGTAACATAGCCAGGCGGCAGGGTGAGCTCTCCAAGGCCAAAGGGAAAGGGCCAAGCAGAAAGGGTCGATGTAGATGAGGAAAGGGGAGAGGAGGAAGGGAAGAGAAGAGATTGTATAAACGAAAGCCACCAATAACAAAGTTTTTGCTTAATTTGATTTTATTTATATATTATATATATATATAAACGAATATATTATATATATATATATATATATATGTATGTATGTAGAGAGAGACATGTGTGTGTATAACGATTTAGGTCTTATTTTTCAAGATCGCCTAACCCTAAACCATATTTAGAATTACACAAATAAAAACAAGAGATATATATATATATATGTATGATGTATATGCATATGTGAAGCATTACTCGAGAACACTCGGCTCTTTCTGCTAAGTTGGAGATTTCCCCTAGACACCCCGCACCACGCCCCTGCCGCTATAAACCCGCTCCATGTGTTAAATAGCAAACTGTAAATATTCGATTGTAAAACACACACCACCCACAAAACACACACACACAAACAAACAAACAAAAAAAGTAGCAGCAGCAAGAATTAATTGTAATTATGAAACTATATATTTAGTGATACGAATAGTTGTAGGAACGATGGAGAGGCCGCCGCCTCTCAGGCTCACGCCGTTTCAGAATCACGCGCTTTATCCGGGCTGCTGTTCGATGTGGCCCCCACGCCCTCGCGTCACTGCGATTCGGGGGCGGGTAGCCAATCGCGGCAGCCCCCCTCCCGGGAGAAAAACCACAAGAAGAAAAGAAAAAACACATTTTTCAATGTACGTAAATTAAATTAACTTATCTTGTAGCCTAAAAGATGATAAGAGAAGAGAAAAACCCACGTTCACTCCCCACTGCAGAGGGAAGAGCAGAGGATCGATAGAGAGGAGAAGGGAGAGTTGGAGGAAGGAGCATAAGAAAAAAAACTATTATTGTATGCGATTATTATTATTATTTTTATACAAGGTAATACTTTTATTGTATTTGTAATGCTTATGCAACAGCAACAACAACAAAAACATAAACATAACAATAATAATATGATAATGATGATAATATGTTATAATATAAACACACTAATGATAACAATAACGATAATATTTTAAAATCCAAAACGAAAACAAACAAAAAAACAAAATCATTTAAATTATAATTACGTAGAGATGTACTTTCCTAGATTGTAAATTGTAGAGCGGTAAGAGCGTAAGCAAGAGCGATAATAAAATGGAAAACAAATTGCAAACTTCAACAAATGCGAAAACTCTAATAAAATCAAACATCCCCAGAACATCTACCCTTCATCCCAGATCCCGAGAAAGGCACCCACCCATCATTGTGGTCCCAGTTTCAGTTTTCAGTTTCAGCACTCGAACACCTCTAGATACGAGGAGTATAATTGAGATGAATGCTGCCTCACGTACCTTGGACTTGAGTGTGTTGTATTGGATAATCTCATTTCCCCTGATCATCCTTTCCCCCATAATAAGCCCCCATTGAACATAAACCGATTGTGATGCGTACAACTTCTATGATTTGACACACTTGCAACTGCAAATACGGGTAAAAAAAACACACAAAAAGAACTCTATTTAACCTTTGAACATTTAGAGGAATAGTTAACCACATATGAATATATAGATATATATAGCTGTGTGTGTATATACGACTTATGCGACTGTCTAATATCTAAAAAAACAAAAAACGATTACGACTTTCTATTTCTCATTGTTGGATCATCCATTAACGGAAAGCACTTCGAGAAGAAATCAATGAAATCATAGCTTTGACTTTGTAAGAGTTTTTTAAACTTATTTATGTCTGGTAGCCTACAATAATTGTAAATAGTTATTAACTAAACAACAATAGTAATAACAACAATCATATTTTTTATATGTACTTAACAGTTTTTAACTTCTTCTTTTGCATGAAGTGTACACAGAATAGAAATGGGGAAACCTACAAAAAAAATACAAAAAAACAAACACGTACTTAAAATATATATTTATTATATATATGTATATGTATATCGATACAGCCATTTTGCGTATTTGTATTTGAACTAATTCATAGCTAAATGTGAAATTGTTTACAGCGAATGCAGCAGAAACATCTCTAGGATACAGCCACCCCCATACATTATATTGTAGAGATCCTTTCTCCACACTCTCACTCACACACACACACACATCCCACACTTCAAAAGCTCTCTATCGATAATTTTCTATAACTAACTGATATGTGAAATCTACCAATCGAGTATTAATAGCTTAATATGCATATAGCCTCTCTGTATAGAACTTTGACTCTTTGCAATTGGCCCAACGATCCCATCAGCGGATTTTATTTCTGTTTTTCCAGTGTGGTATTTACTTACTTTTTTCATATTTAAGGTTTTTCAGTTTCGTTAAATATTTCAGTTCACCTTCTTCAGTTTCCTTCTAAGTTTTAAATATTTTGTGTTGCTTTCACTCTATTTTCTTTTTCATTGATATTTTGTTTCCATGTAAATTTCAGTTGCATTCCAATCCACTTATCATTTCATTTCAATCATATTTCGGGTACTCAAAACAATCGCACTGGATGGAAACGGAATTCAATCCACACTGCAGTTGAGCCAATTCCCTTATAAAGTATACATATATACATAGATAAACCTGTATTTATTGTTAGTAAATCAAATAAGAAAACTGGAAACGCTTGTTGTGGTAATTAAGTAAGCAAACACAAACCCAAAAAACCAAAATAAACAAAAACATAAACTTAACAAATTATATATAATTAATAAATAATTAATCAAACAACTTGCTACACTGTAAAAAATAAAACGAAGCACAATGAATAAAGAATAAATTATAATGAAATGATAAACATAGAGATCGATGGATGGATAGATGGATGGATTTACAGATCGAATAACAAACGGCATGATATTTTAACTGTTTCCTGCATAAGCTATCAAATAATAAAAGCAACAAATTATACATATGAATAATGTTCCATAAACTGTCTAGAAGCATGAAAAGTTCATTGAAAAATATGTGTAATTACGGATACGGCAAGGGATAGGATATATGGATATATGATATATGGATGGATATGGCCGCCCAACAACCCCCTCCCCCTCATAGAGATGGCTAAATTTCAAAGGTGTACATACATACATACATACATACATATATACTCATATATGCAAATATGAATCGAAAAAATATATATATATAGAATTGGTGACACATTCTGGAAAACTAATTAAAAGCTAAACGATCCCAAACCGGCAACTAAACAAAATGCAAACCAACAAAATGCATTATTATGAACAAACAAAAAATAAAGAGACGAAATAAAAGAATTACAATAATGATCGATTTTTCTATTACTGGGTTGGTATACCATCTACTTTCAGTGTTTTGTTGTGCGCTCAAAAACTGTACCGCGTTCCTTTAGCATCCGTTGTAATCGACCTTCAATCAGATGATATTCCATGCCTTTGATTAGCCCGCCCATTAGAATTTCAATTCCACTGCTATTTGGCGATCAATTAACACGCCGATAGCCAGGCCAGGTCCGAAGCTGTCAATTGGTTTTTCCTTCGAGTGTGTTTACTTTGCGCCTCGTTAAAGTGCCAAAATCAATTAAGGCGGCTCTACGTTTGACAAAAATTCAAAAAAAAAACACAAACAAAAAATATACCCAAATCGAAATCAAACAGTAACAGAAACAGAAAAACAGCAGCAGCAAAAACAAACCAACTGAAATTGTATTTTTGTAAATTGGCAACAGATGCGAATAAATGAATGCCAAACGGGCATTGGTCGAATCGAATGCACTGGAATGGCTACAGTGAAGCCTCCGGCGAGAGGAACGCCTAAAGAAATCTTTGCCACCAAAGCTTAGGAATTTTTTTTATAAATATAAAGTCTCGCAAGAAAATGTCTAGTCAGGCTTTAAATGCCTTTCGTTTGGGCAGCAAACATTTTAGCTCGAGTGTGTCTCCTCTTTTGGCTGTCCTCACAGTCCCGTGCCATGGCGCGTGTGTGAGAGTGTGAAAAGTGTTCGATTTCGCATGCATTTGGTGCGTGGATTGGAGCATGGATCGGTGTAGCTGTGACTGTGACTGGCTCTGGCTCTGGCCCCCCAATCTGCAGCATGCGTCGACGCTGAGGCTGGTGTTAAATATATTTGAAAGCAACGCCGTTGCAGTTGTCACTCACTGCCGATGCAACTACCGCTACTACCACTGCCGCTACCTCTGTTGCTGCTGCTGCTGCTGCTGCTGCTGGTGAGAGATCTCAAAAAGGAGTCGGGCAACAGAAGCTCATTTTGCTGTCATGTCGAGGTGTCATGTTGCAATGTCCCCGCTGCCGTTTGGGCCAGGCGGCCAAAACAGAAATCAGGCATGAAATTTGCTTAACGGTACGGCACGTCGACACTCTGCTATCGAGATGTGAGGAGCGCAGCGGAGCGGAGCATGCTCGCATATCCGCTGACCTTTATTAGCATATCTGTGTACTCTCCCGTTCACATTAAAGATGCAATTAAGGTTGTCCACCCTCAACCCCAATCCACAGGCCCAATCCACAGGCCA